TCCAGTCCCGCGGCCCGGGCCTGACTCTCCACCAACGCGGCTTTCAGACGGGACTGCTCGCTTCGGGACTTGGTCAACAGGTCGCGCTCCTCCTACCGCGTGGAAGAGGGCGCACGGGGTAACGGGGGGCCAGGCCGGGGCGGGGGTAGTGAGGGAGGGGACCGGGGGGGAATGCGGGGCAAGGCGTTGACAAGGGCTCAAGGACAAACACACAAAAAAGATTATACCTCCCAGTCCCAGTCCTGAGTAGCCACGGAGACAGCCCCCTCCCCCCACCCTGCTCGGCTCACCCCCAGCTGCGTGCTCACGGCCGCCAGTTGCGACTCGATCTGCTGCCTCTCCTCCCTCGCCTCCGCCACGTCCCGCTGCGCCTTGACGCTGATGTTGAGCGCCTGCTCCTTGAGCACCCGCATAGCCTCCTTCATGGACAGCGCCTCAGCACCGACCTGCGTGGACAGAGGGGAGTAGGATATGAGCGCATGGGATAGTATATGCCAGGATAGGAGGGGAGAGGAGGGAGGAGAGTGAAGGGGGAGAGGAGGAGGTAAGAAAGGTGTTCTCCCTCCACAGCCCCCCCGAGCTCCACCTGGAAAACGTCCCCATCCCCCAAACAGTACCATTGCCCCCCCCTTTTATCCCCTTTCTCCATCCACAACACAGACGCGCAACCCCCCCGCCCACCTTGAATATGAGCGACTCCTGTTGGGCAATCTTGGTATTGGCCTCAGAGATCTGCTCCTGGAGCTCGGAAGCCAGGTCATCCGCTGCCGTACGGCGGCTCACCTCCTCGTCCAGGGAGGCCGTCAGCATCGAGTTGGCCACCACCGCCCTGCCCGCCTCGTCCTTGGTCTTCCGGAGCCGCGACATGGCCTCCTGAGCCTCCTTGCCGACCTGTTTGCAAGGGGGTGGGGGGAGAGAGGGGAGGCTGGGGGGTAAGATGAACCACTGGCGATGGAGCAGATACCAAAGACGGGTAGTCCAGGAGAAGATAAATGGAAGGGGCGCTGGGGGCGGGGAGGGGAGATGGAGGGACTAACCACGAACGAGTGAAGCTGACACCAAGGATAGACTGATACGCCAAAAGTATGCAAAACGTAACAAACCAGTCGCGAGTTGTGAAGGAGGAGTCTTCGCGGTGATGTTAATAGTCATGAAGATAGCGGAAAACTACCTACCTAGCCGCCGCCGAGGCAAAAAATAATGCGAAAAGAAAGGAGAAAAACACGTCCGTAGTATTCTAAAATAATGGGGAGGGAGGGGAGGGAGGGTATCACGTGCAAACGTCCAGGAAGACTGTCGACACCCAACCTAGGGGTTTGGCCCCCCGATACGGCCCCCCATAGGGCCCCCCATAACCAAAGAAACAACTGCCGACGCTCCAGGGGGTCCGGAGTGCAGCGGGAGGTGAAGAACATACATGGATACGGCGCGGGCGGTGCGGGGGGCTTGTAAACGTTGGCCGAGGGTGTGTGTGAAGGAGCGGGGGGGAGGTGAGTCTGACCGGGAGTCCCCCTTCCCATTCACCTTCTTCGCCACCTCCCTCTCCGTCTCCAGAAGCCGCTCGGTGGCCGCCAGGTTGTCGGCAACGGCCCGGGCCTCCGCCTCCGCCGCGAACTTGGCCGCCTTCTCCGCCTCCACCAGCTCGGCAGCTGCGGCGGCCTCACGCCTGCGTGGGTTGAGGCGGTTGGGGTGGTTGATGAATTAGGGAGTTGACCCTGGGGGGCCGTTGACTGTCACATACACACCGCTGTTGGTTCACATGACCCGCCGTCAGGTCCTCAACGCACCTGACCAGCACCCAACCAGATTTTGTAAAACCTTACAAGCCACCACCACTATCACCACCGCTAACTGCCCCCCAATTCATGACCTTCAGACCAGATCCAACTCCATCTACTCCACCCACTCATAGTGCTTGTGTGCCTCCCCCCTCCCCCCCCCTTCTCCCGGCTAAATCCCCACTCTATCATTATCCGACCCAACCCCCGTCCAAACCCCCTTCCTCCCCCCCTCTCTTGCCCTCTCACCTCACCGCCTCCACCAGCCGCTTCTCCACAGCCAGCGCCTCCTCAGCAAGCCGGGTACTGCGGCGCGCCGCCTCCTTCTCAACGCGCTCCAGCTCCAACTGCAAGCACAGACAGACAGACAAACCCCGGCGGGGTGAGGGGGCGATCTGGGGCTCAGGAGTGGAATAATAAGGGGTAATCAAATGCAAAGGGAAACAACGATTTGAGTGCCGAACCGTCGCGAAGCCGGCGGTTAGCTGGCTGGAGTCACAGACTTGGACCTAGCAGATAACGAGGGGTGGTTAGGTAATGGACGCGGGTAGCCAGGAGCAGCTACCTGGCCGGTAGTTGCAACTGTCAGGCGTACGGCCCGCTTGCTATTGTGCGGCGAGGTTGCCAAATAGGAGGAATGCGGCAAGGGGGGAGTGCGGGATGAAGGTTTCGAGGGTGGGGTGGAAGGGGAATCAGTTCTGGTGGAGGAGGGCCCGCTGTATGAGGGGAGGAGGTGTGTACATTTCTTGGGTCCGCACTTACATACATACACACATACATCTGTTAGGGTTGCTGCGCACGAGGCGGGTGGGTACGTGTATCGTTCCCCTCGTCCCACCCTCCACCCACCACTCGGGCGCTGTCCTGGGCCGCCTGCCTCATCTCGGACTGCAGCCGGGTCACAAGCTGCCGCTCGCGGTCCAGGGCGGCCGCCGCCTCCGCCGCCTTGTCCTGCAGCTCCGAAACCCGGCGCCGCTCGACCGCAACGGTGCTGTTGAGGGCTTCCACAGCACTCTGTCGCACCAGGGGGCAGAGAGGGGGAGTTCGGGGGAGTTGTACGGCCCTTCAAGTAGGGGGTGACGGCGGGTGAGGGAGAAGTTCCGCAGGGTGCAACAAGGAACCTTAAAGTATTAAGCTTAGCGATGTGTCCCTGTGTAATGGAAAAGGGGGTGGGTCTAGGGTGGTGGGCAACTCGCAAGGGTGCGGAGAAGGCTTGGGTAGCCAAGGGGGCCTTATGGTGTATGTGGAGGTAGGGGTTAGCCAGGAAGGTGGGGTAGGGGAATGGGCACCTCAATCCCTCAGCCCTACTCCAGGCCCTGGGGAGAAGCCAGCTGGTGGGTAGTTCCACTTACCACTTTCCCCCTGCCCGCGCCCAGGTGCGGCAGAGGCCCCCTCGCCAGCACATCTGCTCCTTCCCCCCAAACCACCTAATGACAGGGTTGTGGAGTTGAGTACAACAGCTGTCGCAGGAACCCGCCCATGACCAGCCGTACACATGCGGCACAAACCCTCAGAAAGCCCGATCTCCCTACGTTACCGTACGTCAAGAGCCAGGAGGCATTGCTACTGCCGCTGTTTCAATGCAACAGACGCCGATAGATACCTTGTGGGAACGACCGCGGGTCGTTCAAATGGAGCGAGCGGGGGCACCCCGGACGTCTCACAGACCCTCCAGACCCCCCAGCTGACAACCGGCTCCCCGCAACCTGCCGCACCTCCTTGTTCTGATTGAGCACTGCCACATAGCCCGCCAGACCGCCTCCAACCACAATGCCCAGAGCGCCCAGGAAGTTCAGCGGGCTGCTCTCCTCGGCCTCGGGAGTCACGGCAGCGACGGCGGCGGCAGCCGCCCCCGCCGCCGCCTTTTCATTGGCGGCAGCGACGGCGGCGGCAGCGGCCTCCGCCGCCACCTTTTCATTGGCGGCAGCGACGGCGGCGGCAGCGGCCTCCGCCGCCACCTTTTCATTGGCGGCAGCGACGGCGGCGGCAGCTGCTGCAGCTTCCCGTGCGGCCGCCACCTCGCGTGCAGCAGCAGCCTCCACGGCCGCGGCCTCCTCCCGCGCCGCGGCGAGGCGCTGTTCCAGTGCGGCCTGCTCAGCAGCAGAGGCAGCGGAGGCACGCTGCGCCTCCGCCAGCTGCTCCTGCAGCTCCGCCAGCAACTTCAGCTGCGCTAGTTCCTCTGCAGACGGGCCAGCTGCCGCCTGGATGGCAGGGGCTCCGGCTGCAGCGGTGGCACGCTGCTGCAGCTCCCTTGCACGCTCCTCCAGGCGCTCGCGCTCCGCATGTTCGCGCTTGAGCTGTTCGTTAAGGACGCGGAGCTGCTCGCGAAGGGCTTCGGAGCCGCGGGCTGCAGCGCTGCGTTCCGCCGCCAGACGCAGAGCTTCCTCGCGTTCAGCCTACACAAGGGCGATACGGGCGGGGCGCGCCACTAAGGCAGGAATGAGCCGAGGTTGGGGAGAAGCATTACCTCGTTGTTACAATACAAACTGCTATGAAATCCAGTTCGTAGTTTGTAATTAACGACACAGGACACATAAAATTAACAGTAACTCGCTGCGAAAGGAAAACAGGGACAGACGGCCGTTATAACGAAATTGAAATTCCCAACCCGCGGGAACGCCACTCCAGCTGGAAGAATTTGAGTATGATTCAACCTTTGCAAGAAATCAATTCCCGAGTTGAATGGGTCCAAACATGACTTACTTCAGCAGCAGGAGACGCCTCGACTTTTGGCAACGGACGGCCCGTGCGCTCGCGGACGATACGGGCCAGCTCCTCTGCCTTCGCATTCTGCAACTCTGTCAGTGACGCCGTTGCATTTGCTCCCAGCGGCACTAGGGAGCTGCCCAGCAACACCTATAACGTGGCAATGCATGGCCGTTAACAGGTCCCAGGGTCGGCGCCAGACGTCAGCGCCCGACCCATTACGCAGAGACGGATGTACCTAAAACACGACATGCTAACCAGAGACCCTGATCCCAAGAGATTGAGCATGCTTTGAGGTCAGGCGGCCATGCTTGCACTTACTCCAGCGAGGCCAGCGGCAAGTCCTTTGCGGATGAGAGATTTCCAAGGCCCCTCAGATGTTGGCTTGAAATGCGCATTGCACGTGATCTTTACCACACGGCTGCCCGAAGCCTTGCGGCCCCATTGGGGTCTGGCCGGTTTAGTAGTCCAAAGTGTGCCAAGCATTCTGCTGCACTTTGCTCAGTGACCTCAATTCAATTGAGGTGCGTGTTACAGTTCCTTTGATGGATGGAAGCCGATAATCACGGCTCCGGAGCCAACGGCGATCGCCCCGGTACAGCCCATCATAATCGTTACACCTCTCAAACGAGGCTGCCATCCAATCATATCACGAACGCGCACGCACAGCACGTTAAAAATACATGGTTTACGCACAAAGTAAGCGCTCCCGCGACAGTCCTCTCAATCGCATGCACGAACACACAAATTCTACGCCCCAGCCGGCGGCTTGGCGGTAACAAGGACGGCGTCGTCGACCTCCACAAGCTCGATGCGCTGGTCCGCCAAGTCCGCCGAGGCCGACCTGCGGGACACGGCAGGCAACCGGACACAGAGCAACACTCAGTCGACACTCAGTCAATTATGCATAAAGATACTTGTTTCTGGTACCAATATAAAGTTGCATGAAGAACAATTGGAGGTAGACTCCGAACAGTGAAGTAGGAAAACGAAAATCCGAAAAGGAGCAGTGAACAGCCGCCATGCGGCCGAATGCTGCACAAGCTGCAAGTCGCAGCGGGAAAATTCTCCAGAATAATATTGCGAAAAGTTCGTATTGGCCATGCTGCCTCCAACCACATAGCTCCCAAAAATGCATTCAGCGAGGGCCGACTTCCGCCTAACAGAAGCAGCAGCGCAGCATCCACGGATACGGGATTATCCAACTGCCAGGCCATACATCTGAGAGCCATTCGCGGCAAAAATGGCTCGTAACAGCACAACACCACCGCCACCACTGCTTTCCAACCTCCGCAGCTTACCCCACACGAAACGGCTACCAGCAAAACAACAATGTGTAAACGACATTGCGTGTCACTACCGCCTGTATCCGCGGTATCGCTCTGCATTCCGCTCGTACGAATCCCTGTGCTGATGCGACCGCCTGCGGTCGTCCGGCCGGTAATCCCGTCGCCAATCGGCCGGCTTGCCGCGCGACCGCGACCTTGATCGCGAGTAGCGGTCGCTGCAGCGGCGCCCTCCCCGCTGGTGCGACCGGGACCGCGACCGAGATCTGGAACGTGATCGCCTCCGTTCCCCACTCCCCATGGCTGCAAAGCCGCTCGGCGTGTACCTTGACGACTGGCGCCGATCATGCTCCTCCGGGGACGCCGACCGCTGGGACTCGCTGCCAGCGCTGCCGCTGCGCTTGTCCGAACGCACGGCCGTATCCGCCTGCGCCTGGGGCGACAGCTCGCCACGCAGCCAGGGGTGGTTGAGCATCTCCGCAGCCGTGGCGCGCTCCTCCGGCACAAAGCGCAGCATCGGTAACATGAAAGATGCCAACCCGGCCGCCTGGGACAAGTGACGATAAGGGGCAAACGACAGTGTATAAAAGCGCTTACGGGGGGTACGCCAGGAAGGATTGCCACAAGCCATAATCGCCACAGTTCGCATACCATAGCCATGCACGACGGCAACCCAACTTCAGCACGCACTTCGTAGATGGTACCGTAACAGGAGTAGGGAAATCAGTCAAGCGTTCCCTACCTCCTCCTCCGAGAGCTTATACTTCTCCACCAGGACCCGATCCAGCGGCCAGAAGCGCAGCTTCTTGATGTGCCGCAACTCTCCATTCCGATTAAAGTAGTCGCGTGCGTACTTCCCTTTTTCGAACACCTGGTGCAAGGGAAAACCAATAAAGGGCTGTACATACGGGACGTAAAGTGCTCCTCCTCACTACAACACTTCACGCCTATCGAGAAGCGTCTACACAAGCACCTCATACCTGTAGTGCGCGCACCCGCTCATAATCATGAAGGGGAACGGGTTTCATTTTTCCCAGATTGCCTACCTTCCGTGGCATGCGCCCCAACAGTTCAATGAATAGCGCCAGATGATCCTCGTCTCTATCCCACTTGTCACCGCTCCGTGGGTCGAAAAGGAGGTCTCCCGTAATCAGCTCAAAGATGACGCAAGCGAAGGACCACATATCTGCTGGCGTCGAGTACTTGGCGCCGAGGATTACCTCGGGGCACCTGTGCCAGTGCGGACAGTGGTCCACAACGACCCGGCCGTTGTGGACGGCCGGGCAGAGGCATTCCGGGTTGAGTTGCATCAATCACACATCCCCGTGAGGATGCAAGCTAATAGGCCAACTGGTCAACCTATGCAACGGCACATGCATCAAACGCAAAAGACGACGAGAATTACTGAAGGAAACACTGTAATGTCTTTCCACTTCGCGTGGTGGCCATGTAGTAAGCGAAATGCTGATGCACACTTTCGGTGTGAAAGCGTTCAATAACAAGTCTTCTTCCAGATCCTGCCCCAATTTTGCTTTATCGCTTAATTTACCGGTACTGCCGTGTCTGCACATCGGAAGTGAACTGCTTGTATGTCCAGCATGCGTTCCCAAAGTCGACCACTTTGCACGCCGCTGTCCGAAGCTGCTCGTCCGTGAGACCCGGTCGCGTGATGATCAGCGGCTGCTGGCCCTCCCCTGCCCCGGACGTCGTGGTGTCCGCGCCGCTGGCCAAGCGGTCTGCATCGCCATTGGCAACACCTGCCGAGACACACAACTTCGCCTCCACCGCGGCGCCGTTGCTGGTGGCATCACCACCGCCCCCAGCGCCGCCGCTTTGAACATCCCCTGTTACGTCCGTGTCACCCGACGTCTGGCCCGTCGCGGCGCTGACCGAATCCTCAACGACGTCGCTGCCGTCGTCATCCCCGTCAGCATCACCTGCGACTGACTCAGCTTGGTCTATCTTCTTTGCCGCGGCCTTTTTGAGCTTCTTTTTAAGCTTCTTCCGCTGGTTTCGTGTAAGGCCCTCAGCTCCGGCCGTAGCGGCCACGGGCGCAGCACCAGCTGACGCTGCTGGTGTGCTGCGCACTGCCTGCGGCACGCTAGGGGACTCTGACGGCTGTGGAATAACCCACGTCCTGTCGCGCAGGGGCTCCGCGAGCATCACATTCTCCGGCTTGAAGTCGGTGTGGATGATCTCACAGCACCTGCCAATATGACAAACACATGCATGAGTGCAGGAGGCTAACAAAGTGGGATGTCCACGAGCTTGACAAATCCAGGTGACCCATGGGCCCGAAAGGCCACTCGACACATCCAAACTCCCCGTACAGCTACCTGTGCATGTAATCTAGCGCCACCAGCATTTGCATGGCCAGGTTGCGCACGATGGGAATAGGGATGCCCTTGTACTCATAGCGCTTAATAAGCGCCAGCAAGTTTTCGCCAAGTACCTCGAAGACAAGGCAGACATGCCTGCCATTGGGACCCGAGTGCTCAAAGCTGTCATATAGTCTCACGCAATGCTTCTCGTCATTCGGGTCTCCGTCACGCAGCTGAGACAACAACGTGATCTCGTCGCGTGCTGCCTCGGTGTAGTGCTGGGCACTCTTTTGCACCTGTAGCCCAGCCAAGAACGTGTAAGGCATCTGTATGCATGCTGCCTACCCGCGCACTGCTGCGGCAACGCACCTTCAGGGCCCGGTAGTCGCCCGATTCGGCATCGTGCACTAGCCACACCGTGGAAAAGTGGCCCCATCCCAGCTTTCTCAAGACGGTGTACCTTCCATTCTTGTATTTTTCGCCAGTGCTGACAGGGTGGTAGCCACCTGCAAGCCGTTGCTTACCGACATGTTGACCCTAATGGATAAAAGCAACCCTAGCGCGCAACGTACCCTTCTTGTAATCCTCTGTCCCTTCGTCATCTGAGTCAGAGTAGTCCTCCTCCCCACTGCTGCTCAATTCTTCCACATGCGACTTTTCGCGGCTATCCTGCGTAGATACTGGAAGGCCTGCAAATTTGGATGGCGAACTTGTCAAGCTGAACAACTTGTGCCCAAGCAAGATGTTGACTGCTAACCTTTTCTGCGAGCTTTCCGACGCCTCTGAACTTGTACAGGTAGCTTGGCAACACCTGCCAAATCGGCGGGTGGCTGCTGTCAAACGTTGCAAGAATAGCATCGGCTTGATGCGGCGTGTAGATGCGCAAAAAACGTCCTACCCTTAAGCATGGCCAGCCCACGACTAAGGCGAACGTCCGCAAGACGGCCACTGCGAAGCGGCCTTTACAAATGCTGAAGGAAGGTGATAAACAATCAGGTAGAAATTATAACGCGTAGTGGCAAACCTAATAGGATTATATAAGGGAGTCGTTGTGCATCACCAGAGTTTTGACGCGAGCGCCCGTACGGCAAGCAAAATGCACGGGAATTATATCCTCGTTAGACAATATAGGGAGAATATGCCTAGGATAGACCCACCGTCGGAATGAACAATTCTCAAAGCGCACAATTAACGGCTTTGTGAGTATCACAATCATGTGGTACGGGGTGTGGCGCTTCGCGCTGAGACATCCACGAGGACTTATCGCACATGGCCCCCCGTTGCCATAGTTTTTAGGGATAAGAATGGTCACATCCAGCTGATTGGCAGACGAGCCTGTCAACCTCCCAGCACGGGCATAACGCCATGATGCGCCGTGAACGCCCGCTTGGCGTTGCCTTGGCTTATGTACGGCATCCTGGCATGGCGTGCACCGTGCGACGAATCATGTTCCATAAAAAAAGTCCAGGATGGGGCCCACCGCGCAGTTGAGCTGCACGGACCGCTGCGCCAGGGAATTTTTCGCACATGCTGCATAGTGCATCATTCGAGCACACGTTGACCACTGCTGCCACGTCGTGCCGTAGCAGCTGTAGTAGCACAGAAAGCCCTAGGGTAGTTGGGCTTCTAGTATCTACAGATATATAGTATGTGTAGTATTTGGGTCAGTATGCAAAGCAGTGTTTTGTCAAGCAAAACGTGTAAAAAAAGAGGCATTGTGCCAAATTGTTAGCAATAGGATACATGCAGTCGCAGGCTCTACTACTCAGGCATGTGCGTTACATTTGCAACAATTCGCCAGTTCGCGTCTTTCCATGCAGAACAGCTTTTCCGCTCCCCCGGTTGCCCATTTGCCCTAGGACAGGTTTCGCCGCACGCGTCCTGCCGTGTCCTGCGGACCGACAGTTCTGGCCGATGACCCTCTACCCCTCTAGAATCCACTGGAGAACTAATTCCTTGTGCAGCCCTCATGCCCCTTAGATTGTAAACCACCGAGGGCTTCCCAAACCGACTAGGAGGTCCCATTCCACTTACGGAGCCACATGCCCCGTTCCAAACTACGCTAGTCTTTGCATCCCTCTCCGCCCTTTCCCCTGGGCGCAGCCAGGTCACCAGCCAGGCAACGGTGGGACAGCCGCTTGCCGGCAGCCCCAGCAGCAACCCATCCCCCTTCTCTATACCGGTACAGATCGCAAGTACAGGGTACGGCAATGGAAGTACGGCAGGCATGGATCAGTTGGATCAAGGCTCTATATATAAGTATGTATAAGTACGAGACGCGGCCGCCGCGGCATTTCACTGCCTCCACTGTCGAAGACGAACCCACGCGCGCCGCAGCATCTGAGCGCTACTGCGGCACCATCGAGAACCGTTCCCTGGACCGCCAACCTCTTTCCATGTTCTCCACCGTTCGTGCGATTGCACCTGATCGCACCGATATCGCCCGAGGCCCCCTGCCCTGCCCTGCCCACCGCCCTCACGGCACCGGCAGGGCGTAATAACCCAGACTAGGCAGCAAATTTACTAGCACTGCGGCGACTAATCAACGCCCTAAGCAGCGGAAACTATTATCCAAAACAAATCAATAGTCCGACTTTGCTCATTACAACATACGCGCTCATGCAAGAAGCAAAAGCCATGCGTTGGCAACAACACAAGTGAGCTTTAGAAGCAAGTACTCGTTGAAAGAATAAAAGGCGTGCTGCGGGGGGGAGGTATCGCCATCATTGCTATAGGAAATGCTATCAAGGCTAAGGGTGCATTTCCAGTGCGGATTAAGGCCAGGGATTAGGGCAAGGAAGTCCTTGGTACGAGCTTACCACATAGTTTTGTTCCATAAGGGAACCAAAGGTTGAAAAGGCGAGGTAAGTTTGCCAACAACTTAGGCGTTTGAGCAGGTATCGATGGAGGACAGAGGGTTAATCCCTGGCCTTAATCCGCACTGGAAATACACCCTAAACGTACTAACCACAACCACAAGATCTATCGGCACCCGCATTCCCCACCTCTTCTAAACTCGCGAAACCAAGGAAAAGCGAGGGATCCGCAAAAAGCGTGGTGCCAACTGGCCCTTCAACCGAGGACCGGACGAGTTCAGTCAAGCTACCACAAGCGACCTGTGTGTGAAAGCATGAGGAGCCGGGGCAGCAGCACTTCCAGTATCTGTGCGCAAACCCGCACACAGCATACCCAACGAAACCCGTACACAAGCCCGTATGCATATACCGATCTTCAACCCGTTATCGCCAACACCGCCCTTTCTCTACGATATGGGCTCCATCAGCAAGTGGGCCTTCCAAACAGCATTCCTGTCGCCATGTCCACCGATCAATCAAAATGAATGGAAAAGCTATACAACGGGAATCAAATACATTACAACTTTCCAGCAGCTCCGACACAGTAAGTCGGGAACCCCCAAAAAAGAACAGCCTTCCGGCTGTGAACAACATTCACCCGCATATATATGTCGGCACATTACAGAGGGTACAGATGGACAAACAGATGGACAGACACATGCCACGATACAGCCATGCAATGCACGGAGTCGCACCCTCAAAATTCATGTGCCCCAATCGCCATTCACCACCGGGCTGGCCCGCTATCTATCTTCGCCCTCAGCCTCACGAGGTAACCTGCAGCCACACAGCGGACGAGTAGGCCTGCCCCGACAACAAAAATAGCATGTAATGCCCCGGCGGTGCCACATACTTCGAGGGCGGTCCCCGCAACCTCAGAGTGCCCCGCCCATTGTCACCAACAATCGCCAGGCCCACAGCACGCTGGTTGAAATTCGTAGAATGTGTCGTACTCGACGGCGCCATCAGTACCGCACCGTCAATATCCACCTTCGCGGCCGTCGTGTCGTACACCGCATTAAACGCCTGCTTGTATGTAATCGCGGCCGGCGCGGACAGGAGCACGGGCCGTGTCGGCCAAAAGTAGAATGGCGGGTAGAAGATCTCCACGCGATACTCCGGGAGGCCCCAGGGCGACGGGCTGTACGGCACCGTGACGTTGAAATAATCGCAACGGTCGCAGCCCGCGACAATGATCGTACCGTCCGGCGTCAGCGCCGCCGTGGAGTGGTACATCCGGGGGATTTGGGAGTGCGCCAGGCGTGTGAAGCGTGTGCCGTTGGGCGCGTACGGGTCGTACAGTACGGGATTAAATTGCGGGAAGTGCGCCTTGGAGGAGCCGCCGGTGGCCGAGTCCCCGGCCACGCCGTTCTGAGCCCCGTTGAGCACCACCACACAGCCGTTGGGCAGCAGCACGGCATCGCCCATGACACGCCGCGCATTCATCTTTTCCAGCTGCCAGGCGCCAAAAGTGTAGTTGCGGACGGTGGAGTCGTAGTTTACCTGCGGATCGTACCACAGACCACACCACACCAGACCACGCGCGGGGGGGGGGGGTTCCGAGGCGGGTCCGAGTGACGAGGACGGGAAGGGGGCCGCAGAACCGGTGAGTCGGCATTGGCGAAGGGAGGAGGGTCACACCACGTTCCTTCAGTTCTCACATCGATATTCTCCTCATGGGGGGGAAAGGGAGCAGCAGAAAATATCGGTAAGGGATTACGGCGAGGAGGGAGGTACGGCAGCGCCGTGAAAGCACCTTTACCACTTCCGGGCCTGTCCGCATTCGAATAGGCTCCGTACAACCCTCCCCAGCGCCACCACCGCCACCACTTCCCCACACCCCCCAGCGTTACCTGCAGTCGTAACGCCAGATCCACCGCGGGCGTGTTGGTCCATCCGTACCCAAACTGGCCGCCGAAAAACACAAACTCAGCCGTGTAATTGTTCTGTGGCGTGAGCGGCAGCATGACACTGCAGCTGCTAAACGGGTACTCCAGCCGAACCGTCTTGGCGACGGCGGTGTGAGAGGGTATGCTCGTGATTACGGTACCGTCGTACGGATTCAGTACGAGGCCCGCCGTGTCGCAATACACAAACATGTCACCGGTGGGCAGGATGTAGTTGTTGCTGCGGGCGACAGGGGGGCGAGAGTGAGGGGGTGAAGGAAGGAGGCGGAGGACGGGGAGGCAAGCTTGCATGGATGGATGCATGCATGGGGAGCGGGAAAAGAAGGCGTGGTAGTGGTGGTGGTGGCGGTGGTGGTGGGAAGCTTCCCAAGATGTCAGTGGCCGCCTTGCGCGAGGGAGCCTCTCGTGGTGGTGGTGGTGGTGGTGGTGGTGGTGGGGAGCTCGGCTGCATGCGTAATAACTTTCACAGAGGTGTTAGAATGCAACAGAGTCATGCAACAGCGGCCCCCAAGAGGCCTACAAAGGAGAGCAGGGGCGGAACGAGGGACCAGCCACCCCACCCCAGCCCTGCCATTCCTCCCACGCCCCCCAAGGGTCCCCACCCCCTATGCGGGGTCGTAGAAGGTTCCCCCTTAACCTCAACTTCAATCAGAATATCGCACCAGGTACACACACAGACACACACACATCGCCCTCGGCACAAACGAGCCCTCAGAGACACCCCCCAACACCCCACCCAACTCCCCGCCGGATAGCAAACCCCCACCGGGCCCCACAGCGCCCCTCCCGGGCCCCGGTTTCCCCCTCCCAGGTGTGCCGTACACCCTCAAATACACGCGTGCATTCATTCACCCATTCATTCCCCAGCTCCCCCGGAGGCCGCTCACGGGTAAAAGATGTCGCCCGCCTTCGCCACGAATGTGTCCGGCAGCTTCCACTGCACGGTGGGCGCCAGGGGGGCGTTCTGCGGGTCCCATACCTCACACACGGGGTTGTTCTTGGTTCCGGAGCCCGGGGACTGTGTGCCGCCCATGATCAGGATGCGGCCGTCTGGCAGCAGGTTGGCTGAGGGGTACCAGCGGGGGTAGCGCATGGAGGCCACCGTAAGCAAGGTGCCCTCCTGCCTGCGGAGGGCGGAAGGGGAAGAGGCCGCAGGGGGCCCGGGGGCGGAGTGGAGGTGTGTGGGAAGGGGGGGGGGAGATCAACCACGAACGACGGGGGGAGGAGAGAGCGAGACACGCAAAGCAGAAAACGTGGGGCGCGCCGAGGGACAGAAAGCGGGGGCGAGTGCTAGGAGCCAGGAGCCCGTCACGTGCCGCACGCCCCCCATGAATCTTGGTCCATGGTTTATAAAAAAATGCCTAGCCCAGTTTGGATAGGAGGAATAGGACCCCAGGTAACAGGACGGAAGGGGGGTGCAAATGTGGGGCGGGTTGTCAACCTACGGCCTGGTGAAGGCGGCGTCCACTTGTCGCCTAAACAGGCACTGATACGGGAAAACGGGATTCGTCCTAGAGGGATCCAAGTTGCTCTCCCCCAAAAGCATATCACCTAGTGCATTGCGCACAAAGGGTGGGGATTGTGCTCCCCTCGCGCGGCACACGCACAGTACCTGTCATAGATACGCAAGCTCCGGAGTCCGTCCAGGTAGCCTGATTTGGCAATATGGCCGCCCACCACAGCAATGTTGCCATTGGCCATGATCGTCGCGCCGTTGCAAAACAGGGAATCTGTGTTGGGCACGTTGGTGTACCTGGGGACAGAATGCGGTGGAGGGCCTGTTACATGACAGTATGAGGGCGCTCGGTTGGGAAGGTTCGGGAAGGCGATAAAGCGACAGTGGGGTGGTAGGTGGTGGGGTTCATATTAGTGGTAGGTGAGTAAGGGGGAAGTTGCGTGTGTGTGTGTGTGTGTGTGCAGGGGCGGTTTATCCCGTATTTATGAAATTCAACTTTCACACCCATCCACTTCCCGACGGCCCCCTCCGCCCTTCCCCTGGACCATTGCCACGTCACCCACTTGTTGGTGGCGATGTCGTAATATCCAGCGATGAAGGTTTTCTTGTCGGGGTGCTTGCCGCTAGGGCGCTCCATGAACAGATAGCGAGTGGTGCCGGGAATATGGACGAGATGTACGGCAACTGCGAAAGAAATACCCACCAAGTAGTACACCCCAACCTGGTCCAGGGGACCTTCTTCGCTGGGGGTGAACTGGACTGGCGGCGACGGCGGCAGTGGCGGACTGGGAGGAGGTGGCAGCGGGGACGGCGACCGGCGACCGGTAAAGGGCGGCGGCGCGAGGGGTGCGGTGGGGGAGTTGGGGAAATCGGGTAGGTAGCCGACGAAGTCCGGAGGCGGTGGGGGAGGGGGAGGTGGTGGAGGCGGGGCAGTGATAGCCTTGGGAGGCGAGCGTTTTGAAGAGGGCGGGGGCCGTTGGAGAGGCAGAGGGGGGCTCGGGCGTGGGAAGGGGGGTTGCCGTTGCGGCGGTGGTGACGGGGACGGTGGCGGCGGCCGTGGGGAAGGCGAGGAGGGAGACGGAGCGCGCTGAGGCGGTGGTAACGGCGAGGGTGAGGACGGCCGAGGTGACGGCGGCGACGGCAAGGGGGGCGACGGCGACGGGGGCGGACGAGGTGACGGCGGCGACGGCGAGGGAGGTGGGGACTGTGGTGAGGGCGGCGATCGCAGCGGCGGCTGCGGGGGTGGTTGCTTTGCCTTCCCTGGAGGCGGCGGGCTCGGGGCGCGTGGGGAAGAGGGAGGCGGCGGAGATTGTGAATTAGCTCGTGCCACCCGCGTCCTGACCAAAGGCGACGCCGACGACGCTGGCGGCGGCGGCGTCAGTTGGAAGTTGAGGGTGGTGCTTGCCGACAGGCTCCGCCCCACCACCTGCTGGCGGTGCTGTCTGTGAAGCGGCGAGTGCTTCAGGGGCCGCCGCGACCCCTTCGCCAGCAGGCTGCCGTCGCCGCCGTGGCTGGTGCCCTCCTTGATCTCTTCGGACGGGAGCGGTGCAGAGGCCCCGGCCCCGCCTGGCAAGGTGCCGGAAGTCACACCCAAGCCCCCGTCACCCCTCGTGTCCCACAGCTCGTCCGCCCCAGCCGTGGTTTCCACCAGCTGCCGCTTACCGCTGCTATCCACAACAGCGCCGCCGCGGTCCTGGCCCTCTCCATCGGCCCCTCTGTCGGGGTTTAAAGCTTGGGGAGATCTACCCGCCTGCTGCTGCTGCTGTTGCGGCTGTGGGGGCGACTGCGGCGGTGATGTCGGGTCATCCGCAACCCAGTCGTCCTGGGCATCCAGCCACAGCTGCCATTGTTGGGCCGCAAAGGCGGCGTCCCGCTCAATATCCGCCTCGTCAGAGAGCAGTGCGTCTAGATCCACATCTACAGCTGCACTGCCGTTACCGGCGCCGCCGCTGCTGCTGCGCGGTCGGCCGCGGCTCTGACTGCGGCGCGGCCTTCTGCCGCTGCTAGCATTCCCCGCATGCTCAGCGCTCCCGCCTCCATTTCCGTTGAGGACTCGGCGCAGGTCCTGCCCCTCCCCATGATCAGGGCCGCGGAGAAAGCCGACAAGCAAAGGGTCACCGTCGTCCTGTCCCGACACCGGCTGTGCCGCGGAGGAGTCCTGGCCCTGCTGCTGCTTCTGCGGTAACAGGGTGTCGGCCATCTGTCGGAGTTGCGTAACGACGGCCTCGCCTTGCTTGCAGAGCGTGTCGCCATCGCCGCGGCAACTGCTACTGTCGCGTAAAGCGGCCTCGGCAGCGGCAAGCAGCCAGCGGAGGCCATCTGGGTTTTGGGCCAGGCTGGACAGCGCGGGTATCTCGCCGTGGAGCGGCTGATCGTTTGGTGGCAGGTTCTGTGGGCGGTCGTCGTGAGCTACGGTGGCGACGTTGCTGAGCATGGAGCAACTCGAGATGGGGCACAAAAGAATGCCGCATATGAGTAGTAGCCAAGTTCTTGACATGTGGCGCAGCTCGTTAGGTTGGTCTGATAATTTGTTTTGTTGTCTTGGGTGATGCATTAGGTAGTCAAGGTGCAACCGCCTGCAGCGCGGGGAGATGGACAACGCGATAGGCCAAGTATCGAAGGCATTTATTGCACTATAATAGACCCTGGTTTACTTGCTGTCAATCGCCATAGGCGCAGGGATTACTTACAAGCAAATCATTTCAAGCTGTAGCAGCTTCAATTACTTCCTCGGCGTACCGTATCTTGTAAACATGCATGCCTGAGAGAATATCCTGTATCATATATGTATATTGCTCCGTTTTTAAGTTGCTGCGACCTGACGAACCGCGTCAGCTTTCACTTGGCCGACAGAGTGCTATGCCACGTCAATTAACATCTTACGAAGTTTAGAAGTGTCGTAGAAAGAATTTCTGCGGCCGCACAGCGCTACGAAAGCATGCACATGGTACTACTGTGTTAAACCGCATTCATAGCTTTGAAACTGATTGTAACCTTATTGTCATCCATCACTCTTCGGCCTAAAGCAGCATAAGACACAGATTGAGGTAGTAATGCTAACTGGTTTTGTGTGCTGGACGCAGGGCATAAACTGGCAAACAGCAACGGTTTCCAGTAGCAGGTTCGTAGCTGCAATTACTGTAAACGTGGTGCATGGGAAACCTACATTGGCTAAGACAGATACGACGCATCGTTGCTGGCACCTGGGTCGTTGCAATTCCTATAGCGTCGACATCGGCACCGGGGACCTTTTGTCTACGCACTGGCGCATAGAGACGACGGCGAACGCAATATTCATAGTTGGTGTACAAGGACTAATCTTTCAATGTTTGGCCTCGCGTATAAGCTCCCTAGCAGGGCCATTGGCGGTTTGCTTGTGGTGCATGACATAATACGATGGTAGCACCATACAGACCGGGTTGCAGGTTGTGCCAAACTTCACCAACAGCCTGGAAACCCACCACTGCGTCACCATGCTGCATAAGTACCAATACTGGTCAGCACGTGACTATCATACCTGCGTGCAGTGAGGCCACTGTAGGTTAGCCTGAAACCACTGCACTCCGCATTCCGAACATCCAGAGCACGCAACCCGGTACATCTGATAGTGTTCTTCACTCTCTTGTCCAAACAGTCCTGCCATCCATACATCTCCACGAAATCGCCGCCTCCCACATGAAAGCATGGAGGGCATCATACCGACCTGACTCAGGCCCATCTTTGAACCGCACATGTTACGGATAATACACCGAAATGCACGATGAGACTCTGGCCAACAGCCATTACGATTCGACGCGCAAACAACTAGTAATATGCTGTTTTGAGCTTACAAAGGCAGCCACCCGCATATGTTAGTAGCGATATTTTATACAGGAGTATGAAGTACAGCATCAACAAAGACAAGCTTCCGCAATGCTATGGGCTTTGGCTCATCAAATTTCCCGAAACACTCAACACCTTCTGCGCTATGAACAATAAGTAATGCCTCGAGGATTGCGTAAAAATGCCAGCCCCTCTGCACGTCCTTCAGCCGGTATAGCGGCAAAACCCTACCAGCCCCAAGGGCACCGCAGCATGCCCGAAAGTGCCTACAGTCGCTCCATAATGTACAAGTCAAAAGCTCGGCCCAAAATTGGATGCACACACGGCGGCAGAAGATTGCGCGACAGAATACCTCTCAGGCGTCGTTTACCAGAATACATAACAGGTGCTGCTTGCAAGATGCTGCCCACGATTGCAGTGACAGCTGATGAAGACATCGCGTCATAGCAACACCCGCATGGACACGCGTGAAGCAGCCCACAGTGCAGCCAACAGCGCCCTGCATGCGCGGCAAGAGGCAGGCCATGACACTGAACCGACATGCCACGGCCTTGCGTCGTTTTAGGTTGGCCGAGCACAATGGCACAGTTGCACTTCGGAGCATTAGGTCAGGCAGGGCACTATCAAATCCAACTCCCTTGCCACGCCTACGCAACAGACCTCACCTCATTAGCCATGGGTTCTGGTACATCTGCGCGGACAACATCACGGGTCAGGGGTCAACTTCATCCATCATGGTTGATTCCGTGCCTTATGTAAGACTATACCTGGACAGCGCTGTAAGTGTATGTGCTCCACCGGTACATCCGCCTGCCCCAAGTGCAAACTCGTTGAAATCTGGACCGCTTAAGAGTCTGCGACACAGGGTAAGGGAACAACCGGTGCTGCTGTTGCCTCCAACAAAGGGAGGGTCAACACAAGGGGAGGGTATACATGGAGAGAAATGGAGCCGGGTCTGATAGCGAACAAGTCCTTACTCGGAGTGCGTCCAAAAGGGCTGTCTGCAGCTGCTTAGGCGTAAGCGACTGTGCCTCCGGCAGGTCTGAAATGCACGCGGCTATGTAGAACGCCATCGACTCCACTGCATCCTTCTTGTCAATAACTACAAAGCTATCCTGCTGACCATCGCTTGCTTCCCTTGACGTTGAAGCCAGCAAATCCTCAGGGACGGGCTCAACGTCCACCACAGCCCTTTCCAAAGGCTCCGATTCTTGCGACTCCTAAAGAAAAGAAAGCGTATAGGGGTACTTGAGCAAGTCATCGCTAAGAGTCTGACCTGGACGACACCAGGGCTAGGGCTTGGAGCGAGGGGGCCACCTTTCCAAGCACATGAACTCGGCAACTAGGGTGCACATTTTATTGCTCCTCACCGTAAGCTTATTTTGCTGTCCCTGGCCTTTCGCCCAGCCCGTCCAACGCGCGAGAAAGCCGTCCCGAGTTGGCTTTCCTAGGGCAGCACAGAACGCAGGGTCTGCTACGAAGTGCTCGAGCTCATGATAAACCTGTTCGATAAAAGGGACGCGACGTATAAGGTCGGAGGCACTATTCATGGCTCTGTGAAGCGACTTCAGGTAACATAATTATCTGCTGGCTTCAGTAGATTTATGGGGCACAGTAATTGTGTCACCACACTTGCCTCCTCTGCTAGTTCTGTGTAAAGTTCCTGAGCAACCTCGGAGCTTGCTTCCATAGCTCAAGCTTAGAAGCTAAAAAATCTTAATTAATTTTGCGACACTAACCTCCATGTAAAATAACTGCAGTCAAGGGAGCCTAGTGTGTGAAATGTCCATTTGCAGCTCCGATACCATTGTACAACCAGGTGTAAGTTTTGCGCGGTATGCGTGCGTTGCCTTGGATGTGTGCGCCTCGCAAGGTGTCGGTCGTCACATCTCCGACCTTGTGACATAGAATGCCTACTGACTTTGTAATGCAATCCGCTTGCCAACGTTTTGGCGGGCTGTCACGATAGCACGATGGGTGCTGCACCTTGATATAGCAAGCTCTTGACGGGTGAAAGATAACTGTGCATTGCACCGATGGCTGGGCCACGCTTTAAGCTAGATTTGGTTTCATATGACGACCCAGTGACCCTTCTGCGATTACCTGTCTCAGCAGTGCCATCGTCTGTGGCGTTGCACCAGTATACCAATGACGAGATAGACGAACAGCTGGCTCTGAATCGGCAGCTGTTGGAGCAGTTGGATGCCGTGCTGAATGAAACCGACATCTTATACGTGTGGGTGGCCGGAACACTTCCAACGCCGTTGGTTTACTTTAACGACATGCATGGGGTCTTGCAACTTCCAGGAACCCGGTTAACACTGATGTGTTCAACAACCCCTGTCCGTCTTGCCGACTGGCTAAGAGCTTGCTTAGCCATAACCCGCTCCTCTTCCACTACGGTGTGGCGGGTAAGGTCATCAGCAGGCCCGTATACAGTCTGCCCCACGGTCTTCACGGGTTTGCTCGTCAACTTACAGACGCGGATGCCATCGAGACTGCTGTCACCACACCTGGGAAACAAAGTGCCATGGCTGTTTCAGCGCACAACAGTCAGTTGGACCCGCCGGGGACTATGTCCGGCCGCAAGGACAGACATGGAGCTGGGGACAGAGGCCGCCCAGATCGTGGTGTGGTGAGACGGGCAGCTGTCAGATATGGATTTAGGATGCGGGGCGCTCTGCAACAGAATGTTTGAAGCAGCAAATCTCGCACCTGATTCCATGCAGGCCTCTGACATCCCTGCCGCTAAGAAGCGAGCGCGACGCGGGGCACGTGCAGAGGCGTATGTTGTCATGAATGACGAACCTCAAGAGGCTGCAGGTATGCCTCCCTATGAAGCAAATGGTAGCGCACTCCTTATGGAGACGGTCTTCGGGCGTCACAGGTGCACATATGCACACGCCGGGCGTCACAAATGCACAGATGCACACGCCGCCACATATAGTTGTCTGCACGTATGATTCAAGTATCTCAAGTATGCATAGCACAGAACCCACATGGTAGTAATGCACACCCTTGACCCTTACGTTGGATTGCCTAGCCATACGCATGTCTTTCGATCCATAAACATGGATTTTGATTGCAGCAAAGCTGACTTCGTTTCTGGAGGCGTCTATCGCGGAGGCCACGAGCCGCACAACGGTTAGCGATGGCGAGCACCAGGACGGTCGCGACCGTGTGGAGGATGGAGACGGGTGCGGCGGTGGGCGCAGACGCCAGCAGGCGCGCCGTAACTTCCGGCTTGAGACTCTCAAAGAGTTGCACGGCCAGCTTCTGACGGCACAGGCGCAGGGGTACCTGCAGCTGGTGCCGCACGCGCTGCTGCAGAGCCTGTTGCTCGCACTCCACTGTACAGCAGAAACGGGACGGAAGCAGATGCTTCCAGAGGACTCGGAGGTGAGGGCTTGGTGGCAACCCGCCCATGGCCTGAGGTGGTTATGTTGTCCTACCCGACCTAAGGAGCGTAGCCTAACGTGGCGATAGCGGGAGCCGCTTGCTTCTGTACCTCCTACGGGACAGAAGTGCTAAGACATTGTGCAGCTCGGCACGATCCGACATGACCCACATCGCATACGGCTGCCAGCGCAAAGAGCGGCTGTCAGCATGCATATCCCATGTCCCATTGTCTGTGTTTCCTACCGCAGCTCAAATCTCCTTTGTTGAGGGATGTCACTGCTGCACTGGAGGCGGTGCTCTGTGAGCTCGTGGTGTATACGACACCCAAGTTGCCGCCGTCGCTGTATCTGGAGGAGATCCTGGGCTGTGCAGTGGAGCTGACGAACTACCACCTGCAATACAACGTCCTGCCTTTGCATGATCTGCGCTTTAAGCGTGTGTACCGGCCAGGCGTATCTGAGGATGGTGCGTCGCGTGAGCACAGACTTCATGTGAACATGCCATGTTGCTCGATTTCTGATCTGTGCTGAGGTCCAGAAGGGGCGGCGTGTATGCACTAAAAGGAATGCAGGTGGATGAAGAACGAAAGGCCAGCAGCTTTCTGGTGGCTCTTTTGTGGGTTGCAGATATAAGCGGTTTGCAAGCAGGGCCAGGCATGTGCGTGTGTCTTTCGACAAAGCTTAAAGCGTGCACGCGTTCTGGTTTCCTGGATGTCCACAGAGGAGGAGGAGCCCGCCAAACCCGCAAAGACGCCGCGTGGCCGAGGTGCCGGGGCGTCGGCGGCTGGTCGCAAGTACGTACTGGCGGATGCCTCTAAGCGCAACCCGCGCGATTCACCGTGCTGTTCTAGATTCTTCACCGTGCTGTTCTAGATTAAGGAACTGACTCCAAATTGGACACCCGTATGAGTATGGCACCGTGCCGCACCTGAACGCAACTAGACTACATCGGACAGTAGAAGCAACTGATGGTACTTTGGTGGATGTAAAAGAGCTTCCGTCCTCCCTTGTGTCCTTTTCGTGAGGACGTGGCGTGAAGACGGGGCGGTCATTTCGCGGCAGCCGCTATGTGTGCATCGCCACTGAACCTGTGCGGCCGGTTAGGACAAGAAAAAACGACTAGTAGTTGTGCCATTTTACATTCCACTCAATTTCCACCTGCTGCAGCGCACCTCGCTGGACAGCGGTCCTGGTGGGGCAGCTGGAGCAGGCCTTTTCATTGCTTGCCCAAGTGATGGGCCTGGCGCGCATGGATGTCGAGGGCCTCATTCCACTGCTTCGCATGTCCCAGCAGACACTTACTGTTGCATCTCTGCAGACGCTTCACTACCGGGCCCTAGGTAAGTTATAATGGGGACCCCCTGGGCCGAAGAATCACTGAGGTGGTGTACATAAGACACTTGCTGTATGTACGTACTTGCTGTATACTGTACTACCAGGACTGCTGTAAGTGTATTAATGGCTAAGCACAGTCCGATCTGGGTCACGTCTCCCTCCACTGAAGGACTGAAGTTCCTGCTCCCGCACAACTCCTGTGCAGGTCTCGCCGTGTCTATGTTTAAGTATTACCCAATGCACAGGGAGACGGTCCTCGGCAAGGTTGTGGAGGGGCTGACGGCACACATGAACACTGGCAAGCACCTGACGCGACACTTTCCACTGCAAGTAAGAAACATGGCGGGGTTGGGCAACGGTGATTCATTCCACTGCGAGTAAGGGCTGCAGTGGATGGATGTTTGTGAACACGCTGTTGCGATGGCGTAGTGTTAGCGTGGGTCGATGAGGTTAGATGTGGGTCGCAGTTGCGCGCAAACGTAATTGCAACGCGCGGGGTAACAGCGTCGGTAACAGCGTCGGTGGATTGATTGGACTTTACATGAAGCGCCGCTGGCGCCGCCGCCACTGATGCAGACGCTGGACAACACGACCAATATCCAGATGTCTACAGCGCTCGTGATGCAGCTCATCCAGGTAGCTGCCGAGCTGCCAAAGGTGGACGTACCCTATTCGGATGCGCTGATGCCCGCCAAGCTGCCATCTCACTGGGCTGATCATTTTTGGCGTGCGATCATCACAAAGTGAGTTCGGGTATTCAAACTGAGCGGCTGCGGGCCGGACGCCAACATGGATACTGTTCATCTCCCCGTTGTTGCTGTTATTGTTACTGTTACAGCGGGCTACCAAATGTCTACGCCTGGAGTCACAAAGCCCAGCCAATGTTATGTGGTGGACCCAAGGGAACGCAAAAAGCTGTCCTCTTGCGGTCCTCGGGGTTTGGTAGGAAAGCTCAAGCTGATGCTGGCTTGTCTAGGAAAAGAGGGACGGGACACGTGGCGCGTCCTACGCTTTGCCATCCTTGAAATACATATGTTAAAACCTGTGAGCAAAGGTGTGCGCATGGAAAGCCGCGGTGCCATCATTGTGTGCGGATGTGCGCTGTACGGATTCCCGTTACCAACCCGCAATCCACGTTGCCACCACCATCGTCGCAGGCTGCCCTCCGCAAGGGCCGGCAAGGCGGACACGTCATCGGACCTGAAGGCCTGGGTAGAGGCCCTGGTAGAGGATCTGCTGGCGGCGCTACCACTGCCGGAATGGCCTGCGGCGGCGGTGCTCTTGCGCCGCCTGATCTGCATCATCCGGAAAGACCACCTCACGTCGGATGCTGGCGCACAGTTGGTCTGCATAGAGCTGCTGGGCCTGGTAGCGCGGCGGCTCTACGTGCTAGCCAAGGAAGCGGATTCGCCCGAGGCCACGCGGACGGTTGCCGCGGCTGTGGATGCCGCTATCGGTATGTACTGGGAAATGTTCATCGTGGGCGACAGGGAAGAAAGATGGATTACGGTTGGGCTCTTGGGCCCTGGGAGGATAATAAAGGACACGTGAGCTGAAGGCAGGCCTTTTTGGTGTGTTTCTCTGGTGCTGGTATGTCACATGGCACGGTTCGTAATGATTTCCGCGCATGCCATGTAGCGTGCATGGCCATGCTGGCGTTGACGCCTTGTACACTCATCGTCGGCGTGCATTTGTGTCCGTTCCTAACTTCCTTATCCGCGTTGCCTTGCCCTTCCTACCGTAGCTGCTTCTAAGGTAAAAGCGAATGACGGTGTGCCGGAGAAAGGTGAGGTGGCTCAGGAGCTGCTCATCGAGCACTTGACCGTGGAGGCGGGCACAGGCATGCCGGCTTATTGCTCTTCGGTTAGCCAGGATGGCAGCAGTAGCGGGGCGGTGGCGATGGACATCAGCATAGCTGGCAGTGCTCGGCAGCTTATAGCGTGCAATATGCTGCTGGCACATGATAAGGCGATGGAGCGGCAGCAAGGGTGCAAACTTGACGACAAGCAGACCAAGGACGCCATTCTTCACTACCAGCAGATTTACGAACGCCAGCGTTCCTGCCTGGGGGCATCCACTTCCGGTGGGTGAGGCTATCCGCGCAAATGGGCACCGCCCCTGACCAGTTACTGCAGCGACACGCGGTACCTCAAAGCATGCTCGCGGAAATGCAAACCTGCAACACATTCTGGAAGCTTTTGAATTGAGGCCCGGCCCTTCGCCCGCTTCTTTTCGCGCCCTTTGGGTGGGCATAAATCTGACTGCAGCCGAACTGCAAAGAATATGGTTTTCATTCTTTCTTGTACCAATGCACATGCACGGCATGCCGCACCGTGTGTGTGTGTGTGTGTGCCACGTTTCGTACAGTAGTGCGGTGCCCATTTTCAAGATTGGGAAATGCTCTATCCTGCTGTTGCAGATCGAAAAGTAACATGTGCGTGCACAATGCTGCGTGCTTGGCCCCAGGGTTACCCAGCCTTGACCGTGTCACTGCTGTTGCGCTCAGCCGCTGGTTAATCACCAAATCAGTTCTGGGTTGCAGCCGCTCGACCCTGCTGGGCTGGCTAGCGGAGGCCGGCGGGACTGGTCGCACACAGAAGGAGGCTTACGCGGCAGCTGCGCGCGCCAAGTCCATAAAGCTCCTGGGTGGAGCGATCGAGGTGGACGTGCGAATCCTGAGTTTACCGGAAGTGCAGGTGGGGCCTGCAGCGCGTTGGCTGTTGGACGTGGCTGTCAATATGAGAATGTGGCATTGGGTCGGGCTATTTGCAGGGATCTGATCTAAGTGTTTCGATCACTTGTAGATAAAAGTGCCCGAGTTATTGTACCTTTTGCTCGTTGCATAGATAGTTTTCAGGGGACCAAGCTCATTAAGTTCTGCGTCCTAGGCCATGGTGGCACGCTAATTTAGATCCCATCCTGCAAAACTGGCTCTAACCGGCTCACTATTGGCTACTATGCAAATAGCCAATCCGCTTAGTGTGGGGCTCTGCGTGAACACAGGTCGGCATCAAGGGGGCGCTCAGTGACGACAGTGTGCTGGTGCGCGAGGCGGCCCTGGACCTTATCGGGAAGTGAGTTCACCCGCACCTGCAGCCGACAGGCTAGAGTGGTCGCCCAAATCCTGCCGCCCATGGAGTTACCTTGCATGTGCAAAGTTGTGGGCGAAGACGTAGGGCCCTGATCCATGGCAGGATCCAACAAAAGTAAGGCTGCCGCGTCGTATCTCTCAGTTTCGTGGCCTCATGCTGGGAGCTGTGCAAGTAGGGCATGCGTGTTAAGGTCGTCGCGACAGATGGCAAGACAACTAACAAGTACCATGAGGAGAACCCCAGCCCTCGTTTACCAGGACAATGTGGGGCGCGTCCGCAGGCATATTCATCTTGTACACCCAGCCGGCTGGCCCGGTGTGTCCTCCCTCCGGTTCACCTCCACGCATGCCCGGCTGCAGGCACATCAGCCGTAGCACCGACCTCGCTGCGCAATTTTACGACGTGCTCGTTCACGCCGCGGCGGATACAGGGCTGACGGTGCGCAAGCGGGCTGTCCGGCTGCTGTGGGAGTGCTGCGTGCGTTGCCCTGAGTTTGAGCGACGGACCGACGCATTACTGCTCATTGTGTCGCGGGCTACGGACACTGAGGTAAGGGGTAAAGGGGTGGAGAAGGATGGGACCATAGTCGTTGCAGGTTTCCACCTTAACGAGACGATAACTGTTCGTATATTTTTTACGGGGATATGCTCCAGATGCATAAGGTAAACCTTATCCATGCTTATTCATACACCAGCATTTGGTAAAGGCGCCAGCTACGGTGCTTGTCTGGCTTTGTCGCATGAGGCAACAAAGCCTAAATACCGCCTGCAAGTGCGACGGCATGCGCTGGTGCTGGGAGCTCACGGCAGAACCCTTGCTGCATGGTGTTGCTTGCTCTATGGCAACATTTCCCCGAACGAGCATCTCATGCCGGTCAACGTGCAGGACACGATGCGCGCTCTGGTTAACAAGATCTGTGCTGAGATCTGGTTTCTTCCTCAATTCCGACTGGGTAAGGGTTGAATGTCCATTTATCGCGAGCTGAGACAAGTTGCTTGCCTTTTTTCCCTTGGCACACTGTTGTTTGCTACCTATTCATCTTTGGAGTGTTTCCTGATCGAGCTCCGTTTCTAAAGGACCTCTCCAGTCCCCGAACTGGCGCGCGGTCGCCTTGTAGGAACTCCCTGCGGCCTTGCGCGTGGCGTCTGCAGATGCGCCTCAACCACTCATTCCCCATTCATACATGCTATCGCAGAGAGCGACGAGGGTAGCTCCGACGTATCACGCGGCGCCGATCAGCGGGCCTTTCAGCTTGGCGATGTGGTCATGGCCATATACAGCCGCATGGGCTCAGCGATAAGCATTCCCTTCCACTCCGCCACGCCCATCGTGGCCATGATCCGAAACGTCGTGGGGGAGGTGCGTGGAGCGCAGTTGCCGCTAGGGAAAAGGGCTAGCGACGGGCATGCAATCCAGTTCCCCACCAAACCATTTGGAAGCAGGAGGTGCTTGCTGTGTTTGTAAGCCTGTTCAGATTGAGCTTAACCAGCCACCTTGAGGGGCCCATAAGTCAGCCTCGTCTCAAGGGTGGGCCCGAAGGATCCATGCTTACCCGCGCCTCTGGGCGGCTGTGGAGAATTCCTCAACATCGCTGCGCTGTAGCATTTATTTATGACGTGGTAGTACTAGGTGTTTCCTGTCGCACGGTCAGTGCGGTTCCAGACGTATTGCCGATGATTCCCGCCCGGATTTGCCTCGTGCCGAACCCCGATTTGTTTTTTCTCTGCAGGACGGCAAGTCCGAGTACGAGGCGGTGAGGCGGGGTGCCAGGGAGGTGGTAGACGTCCTCCTGGCGCGTGCTCTGGAGCTTCAAGGGGAGCAGGATGCGCCTCCGCAACCGCCCAGCACGTCTGGTCGGAAGGGGGGACTCGCGCCTTCCGAAGAGCTCTTCCAGTGCTTGCTGGCGCTGCACGCGCTGTGTGTAGCGGACGTGAAGCTGCTTCATCGGGCCGAAGACCCGCAACGCGTCATACGCTGTCTGTCACCGTACATCAAGGCACGTTGGGCTGCTCTAGCCAGCTCCGCTTTTCGGGCGGAAGGGGTTGAGTGGCCGGGACGCTTATGTATACATTATCGATAGGTTGCTGTTGCGAGGAGGGTTTGAAAGCGCTGCCGGCTGTATGAGTTTCTGCATGTGAGGACTATTTAGTTAAGGAGAGGAGTTCTTTGTGCATGAAGAAATTGTGACGGCCCTGGGATGATGTTGACGCACAGGAGATGCCCTCGGGGACGAACGACTTGGCTGGGCGGCGCAAGGCCGAGCAGCTGCTGGCAGTATTGGCCATCGTGGGCGGTTGCATGGCAGCACTACGTCACATGGACGACGCTCTGGCGGATGAGATTGTGCAGGACGTGCGGAGCATTATCTGTCGGGTGTCGCACGTGCAGGTGCGTTGAAAACGGAAGGAACACAGCGGGATATGTGAGGCATGTGAGATAAGGCGTCGTGTATGTGGGCATCTTTTTTGCGCGCGCTCGTGCTCGTGCGTGTTTCCCATTACCGATGCAACGCACTAACGTGACCGGGCTCAGGCAGCGGAGTACGCATATTGACCTCCGCTCTCACAAATCTCATTGGGATCCGGTTGCGTCGTGTATCTTGTGCATCCTGGTTAGAGCTCGTCAGTGGTGGCGTGACGTGGTCGTGACATGGTGCCTTGCGTGCCGCATGCAGGCCGTGACGGTTGCGTGCCAGTGCTTATGCGCGATGGCCAAGCTCAAACCGCGCCATCGGAACACGGTGCGCCTGGAGGCTGCCACGTTCTACAACTTCCTAGACAACGACTTCCAGAAAAAGGCAAGCGCGCTGTGCGTCATGCCTTGTTGGACTTGTCTAGTAAGCGATTAGTCGTGCAGTGAGTCAATCAAGCGTCATGAAGTAGTTGCGGTGTCATGACTCCTCCGTTGTAGCTTAAGAGATGTTGGCTGCGGCGCGACTGAGGAAAACCCTGGTGGAAAAGTCCTTTACCCACTTAAACTGGCTACATAGATTGGCTATATTAGGCCAACTTCGTGAATCTGCTCACACCCCACAGGTCACAGGTCTCCCAGAAAAGCAGCGGATGTATCCCCGCGTGCTGTACACACTGGGCACCTTGTGCCGATATGGTGCCGACATCTTGGACGACGCCAACGAGGTAGGAGACCTACCGGGCCCTGTCCCACGCCGGTACCTTGGTTGCCACCCAACCCCCCGTTGCACCGAGGCAACGCAGTATCGGACTCAACCGCCGCGTTAAGTTAACACCGGTGACGGAGGTGAAGGGGACACTACTCGGATACTACTGTCATGATGCAGTGTTTAGGCGGCTGCCGTTGTACTTGTTTCAGTTGTTTGCATTGCGACGGGGTTGCGCAATGGCCCATACCCGGGTTCTGGCGTGCAGGAATGCAAGCACCCCACGTGTGGGGCAGCGATGGAGCTGGTCCTGCGGTTTTACAACTTGCTGGGCGACAATGTTCGGGCGAAGGAGACGGCGTTGCAGGTGCGCATTGCTACGTGTGCCGCTCAGTCCACTGGGCGATACGGATACGGGTTCCACAGTGACATGCTATGCACCGATGCTACAGCTGTTTGATTACTTTGACATTGGATTGCACAGTCGTTGTCACCTGTTAATCGGCTCTGCGACGAGTGCGATGTGGTCCACGAAAACACGTCATGTGTTCCAAGCCAAGTAGCGCTCGGAGCGACATTATCCAATACGGCTTCCCGGGGGCCAGTGGCGCACACGCACTAACTCCAAACTCACCATTGCTTCCGCTGCCTCTTGTCGCCAGGCCCTTGGTTTCATCTTCATAGCGCGGCCGCAGCTCGCAGTTAACGTCCGCGACGTGGGACCCGTGCTTGAGGCCGCGTTGGAGAGCTCTGCCCCCGCCTCCATCAAGGCGCGCTGCCTCAGCTCGCTCACTGACCTCCTCCGATCCGAGGAAGATGTTTTGTTGGCGCGTCAGGCGGCCGCGCGGCAAGAAGCCGAGGCTGCACAAGTTGCAAGCACCTTGCCGGATGCAGAGAACCGCGCGCTGGCGCGTCGGAACGGCGAAGGCGACAGCAGCTCCGTCAGCAGCGGCATCATCCAGGCAAGCACCAAGTGCCTCCATTTTTGCACACACACACACACACACATACACACACACGCCAAATGAGCGTATGGGCTATCAGTTGCGCGAAACTGGTTGTTGTTCCAAGACTGCACAAGACGGTGTGGCGTTTTACATACATTGTATGCACAGGCCACGGGGAGTGGAGTATCCCGCGTGCGCACACGCGATATATATTTGCGTGTGAGGGCGTGTCTCGAGTCAGTGATGTAGGCATATAGGTGATGAAAGCGAAAAGCCCACCCCGGTGCTGGTGCGTATATAGTCTTCCGTAGTTGTGACAACGGAGAACACACTCCATTATAACTAGAGAGGAGACTCAAGAAAGAGGAGAACATCAAGTTGGTTGCTCATCGATGCGCACGTACGCTCTTGCATGTCGTTGACCTCATCTTCCTGTCCCTCAACAGATGCTTTGGGATAAGATCCTAGCCCTCGCCACGGACACGACGCCGGCGCCGTGCCCCACCGCCAGCGGCCAGACGCCGCCACCGACGCCCACCGGCACTGCGGCTGCCCACGGAGCAGGTAATCGGCTGTGGTGATGTGCCTAAGTGCTAATACCTACCAGCACATAGCAGAGATGGGGCGAACCTACTTCATACACGTGTTTACTTCGTTGATTATACTTGCTCGCATAAGCTTGTCGATATCAGCCGCGGTTCTGCCTACCAATGCGTGGACACTTCCATTTGCAACGTATTAAGATGCTGCTGCATACGTACTTCATTATCATACGTACTTCATTATCATACGTACTTCATTTCTTCTGGACCATGCCATGCATCTTGTAGGGCCCTGAAGGCAGGATGACAGGGCTTGATCCGACTCGTGTCCCTGATCCCTGCCCTTCCCCGCTTGCCGCCTCTTTGAACCTCCTGCAGTCGTTCGGCGGCGCGCCCTGGACCTGATCGAGGTAGTGATTCGTGGCGGCATTGTGGTGCCCTGGGAGGCCCTCCCGGCGTTGTGTGCTCTGGCGACTGACCCAGAACGCGATACTGCAAGCCGCGCGCTAACGGGGCTGCGCGCGGTAGTGGCGGCCAACACCGCGTACGTGGCGGGACAGGTGCCCCGCGGCGTGACGGAGGCTTACGCCTTTCATTGCAGGCTGGCGGCTTTGGAACGGCCTGGACAGGCACCGGCGCCAGGTAAGCTTCCGCGTGAGGTACCGCTTATCACTGTAGGGGACCGGGGTGCGGTGTATATTCGTGCACGACTGTACGCACAGCTTGCCGCACAGCCTCGCTGGCCATCATCACATCGTGGAGGATGCGTTCACCTGCGGGTCAACCTGATACCAGTACGTAACTGTAACTCTTGTGGCATACAACGTACACCTGCTCTGACTGGCACCCCTTACCTGGCAAGCACAGTAACTGGATGGCGGTTTAGGCCACGGTGAAACTTGTCCGGCCGGGTGACCTGCAGCTCTAGTACCCTTCCTGGTCTTGAGTAGGTATGCGGCGAGATTCGGATGTGAAGTTCTGTATTTCGTTGTCATGTGATATGTGCATGTGCAGACAAGTGCCGGACGCTGGTGGAGGGGCTATCGGCTGTGTGGACCACTGTCTTCTTGCCGGACAAGGCGCTCAAGGCCAAATTCTTGACGGCGCTGCTCAAGCCCTTGGACGAGGGCTGCTCGCTGGCCAGCGGCACGGCCGCCAAGGTACCGCAGCCGGACAGTGCTGAAATTGCATCTTTCTAGCAAAATTTTACTGGTTTCACAGTTCGTAAGCAATATGCTGTTTGACAGCCTTCCAACAAGTTATGGCGTTGCGACGGAGGCGAGAGCGCACGAGGATTCATCTTTGAAATGTGGCCAGCAGACAGTGAGGGTGGCCGCTTAGTGGGGTTTGCGGAGCTAAGGGGAGTCTTTTAGGAGGCAATGGATTGTTGTACACACACACGCAGGCTTCTCCTTATACACACACATGTTGCTCTGTCCACATCAGGCCGCTCTGACTGAGGGGCCAGTGATGAAAATGCAGTATGGGCCGCTGGCTGCTGCACGCTATTTGTATCACGGCCATCATGTTCTCGTCCGCGTTCGTGATTGTAAATATTTCCGGACCTGATGCTTCCGATAGTTTGTTAAGTCCGAACAGTTCCTTCGCGCGTACACCATCCGAATGTAGCTGTAGAAATCGATCGCGCAAACATGGTCCACCGTTGTGAAGTTGGAATGTCTTCCTCTGGCTTCTGCCTTCTCGGCGTACCCAACCTTGCAGTCGGACCCGTACCTGCTGTCCTTCATGGCCTACATCATCGCGGAGCTGCCGTACCGCAAGATGGACGAGCTGCTTGCTGTGCTGGTGCGCATCAATGAGATCGTCAGCCGCCGCGCCGAGGAGGTGCTAGCACGGTTCCAGGACTTGCGGGAAGCGGCGCAGTCGACAAAGGTACGCGGCCCGTATCGTGTTCGTTACGAATATGCCTTGCCCTTTGTGCATTTTACATTCCTCCATTTGCAGTCAGCTTTTGTTAGGATATGCTACGGTGAACCAGTGCCGTGCGCATGGATGTTTGTACGTATGAACGGATCTGCTGGGCTGGGCCGTGGTGAAAGACCGGCAGTTGCGGCTGGCGTGCTGGGAGTTATCCGGCCCACTGGTTTATCCACTCTTAGCACGGTGCGCCTTCTGGAGGAGCGCCCCGCTTCGCCCCGGCAAGGGCTAGCTATCACCCTCATCTTCCCCCTCCTCTGCTTCGCCTGCCTGTCCCGTCTGCGGCCTCCCAGGCGGCCAATGCGACGAATACTAAGAACGGGGCTAGCACGCATTCTGCATTGCCGGAGCCATCTGCTCGCTCAACCTCTTCTTCTTTTGGTACCCCGTCCAGCAACCTGGCGGGTGTGGTAAAGGCTTCCGTAGCGCTGTCGCTACTCCTGCTGCTGAAGCAGTACCTGCGACTATCGTACGAAGTAACTGCTGAGCGCGTTGCCAAGTAAGTTCTTGCGCGCTTTGGCTGTGCGTTCAGGTGGCACCCATGCAGGCATGAACAACTTCGTATGGCAGTATTAGTCGGTGTTTTAGCTTGCACAACAGATCGTATAGCCATGAATGCATACGACATCGACATGTGGAAATAATGTCTATAAAGATCCGCCCTCGCGCTGACGACGGTGCCATAGAGTTCAATATCCAGAAGACGGATTAAGAGCAAGGCTGTTACGGCAACTGTGCTTACGTCCCATAGTTATGGCAACTCAATTCTTTCCCATTCGCCTTGGCTCGGCGAAAGGTAGCGAAGTTGTGGGTACACAAACGTATGGAGTCGGGTTGGCCGTGAGAACATCACGCGATCCTGGTCTGGCCTGTTGGGTTTGTGCAGATACGAGCCGACAGGTCAGCAACGCAAGGTGGAGGAGAAGTTTCCCGCTGTCCACAATGGCAAGCTGCGGTTCAACGCGTCAAAGCTTCGAACGGACGTGGCGGCACGTGTGGCGGGGATGCCGGCGGTTGCGGGCGCTGGCGTCTCCTCCCGGGCGGCAAAGGCCGCGGCGGGTCTGGCTGCAGCGGGCGCTGGGGGGGGTATCGGGATGGTTTCGGTGCTGGACCCCGGCGTAGAGGAGGTGTATAAAGTACTCAAGACGCTGATGAAGCAAGACGAACTTGATTACAAGTAAGTCGACGGGGGGAAGCAGCAGTGGTGATGATCTTCGCATGAAGCCGCGGATGTTGCAGGGGGGCTTGCAATCTGTAAGGGAAAGCACGTGAAAAGCTCGGCGTCACTGGACGCGGTGCCGACGAACCCGTCGTTCCCGCGTCGTAACTCTTAGACATCCGTCCCCGAAGCCATTCTGGATTTGCCTGTTGCTCCGTGTTCGTTTTGTTTTCCACAGGCAGGGCGCTGCTGCCGCGGCAATCGGGGCTGACGGCGCTGATGCGTTTCCCGGCCAGAACGACCTCCGAGATGTGGCCATCAACCTGGAAGAGATCATGGCTGCGCCGGATTCTGCAGCTGGCGGGGCCAAGAAGCCGCCGCTTGCTTCCAGGTGCGGAGTCGCGGGGCCACAGTTTTCCGTGGTTCCTGCCGGGCGCACTATCATCCTTTCATCCTTTCAGGTCCTCTTTCTGTTCAGAGAACAGCCATGAGCATATGCATCATGTCCGGTATCCTGGTATTACGCCGCACATAAGCGTCCGGACGTGGAAGGGAAAAAAAGGATGCTCATAGTTAACAAAGTGTACTGTGTGTTCGCACACATTACATGTTGGCAGGGTATGCCATGGTGCTGGCGTTCTTGCATGCACCTAACCACGCTGATAGCATTTTTTAAACGATTCTTCACGAGGGACCTTTATGGGACCACCATCGTACGTGTAAGATACGTGCATCTCTTATGGTACCCGCTTGCAGGGGACGCGGCCGGGTTTCCCGGGGCCGGGGAGCATGCAGCACCCGCGAGCCAACAACAACAGGCCAGGGACGGGGTCGGCCGCCGGCCGCCGGGAGAGGACGCGGGAGCACGGGTACCAAGCGGGCTGGCAGGCGCAAGCGGATCGGCAGCGACAGTGAGGACAGCGGGGGTACCGAGGATGAGGATGCCGGCGGCGGTGGGGTTGGTAATTCGGATGGTGAGGACGAGGGGACGCCTGCGTACAAGCCACGCGCCACCAAGCGGCGAAAGGACAAGGCGCTGTGACGCGCGACAGGAGCAGTGGAGTAGCACCAGACGAGAAGATAGGAAAGACACGTGGACGCGACACGTGGTGTAGGGAGCAGTAAGAGGGACGGACTCACAGTATACAGAATTCATGCACGTGCCAACAGAGGCTCTGTTGGCACGTGGAGGCGCCGGTTTCGGCAAGTCGAGCTGGCTGGACTCGGTATTTGTACTGCCCTGTGCGCTCACGTCCTGTTCTCCAGGGTCCGGCATTGCCAGCCAAGAGCTCTGTCCGGTTCGTCATTCGGGGTTCATGTGGCCTCGCAGCACTAACTCTCGCGACATCCTTTTATAACGCAATATGCGTGCATGCTGCTGCGCGGCCGGAGCTAACGCAAGCAGGAGCATATTAGGACCTGGCATACAGTTATCTGCGACTTGTCAGGATCCACGCTATACCGCTTCAGGACGTTCTAAGCGACTTTCTATTAATAATTGGGATTAGGCCATACGTTGACTGCAGGATTTACCGGACTGGCTGTTCAGTGCGTTGTTTCATATCTGAACGGACCTTTTGGTTTAATTTAAAATTGGGGTGGTATGGGTGGCAACGAATGCGGGAAGGTATGGTCCATGTATTTTCACTCTTATGAGGCTTCGTGCATCGCAGACGTTCTTTGAAACTTGCTCTTGGCGGCAAATACCCTTCGGCGCGAGGGGGGAATGCTGGTATTTCAGTGGGAAAGCGAGGAATCCTATGGCCCTCGAAGGCCGGCGTGTTTATCGCTACCGACCGAACATGTTTACCGAACATGCCTGAGTTGAGCTTTGTCGGTCAGGGTAAAGCATCGGCACGCTTGGCGTTTATAGCGAGGGCCTTGCTGTCGAGGCTTCTTGCTGGTCCGTGTTAATGCTAGTCCTACTCAAGCGACCGGTCGCCACCAAATGTCGACATTTGGTATTGACGCGAATACCCGCGCAATGGGTACAAAGTTCTTCTCTAGCTTTCCTTTTCCAGGCTGGGCCCGACCTAGCATCGCGTACGGTATCTAGATTGGGCCTAGCGGTTGTACCACCTGTGAGTGCCGTGAAGGCATAATCGCGGCTTGACATGCGCGACATCACCATGTGGGCTGTTATGTTAAGCAAAATTTCCAGAATGATTCGGGGTTCCCCTCCAAATAACTGGCAGTATTTACAGCAGAATTTCTGCCGCGCTTTGCATATTGAGGTTTACCCCGGTTGGGGCTTAGATGGCCCGGGCGCATATGGGTTTGATTTATGATTGTAAGCCATGCGCTTAGACCTCAAAACCCCCTCTTTTTTTGGCATCAAACATGTAAATACATTGAATGTTTTAGACATCTTCATGCCGCTGCCGATTACCGACAACAAGCTACTGACAATGGCCAACAGGATGATAAGTAATGGATGCAGCAAGGGCTGTGTGCGGTTACAACATAGGCTGCTCCGCGTTCAGTGCCCGTTTATGGTGGTTTGCGGTTTGAATGCTCGATTTAGCATCTCACAACGAAGGCGAAAGGGTTAAAGCGGCCCGCGTCACCCTTCCGAAGGACTTTATACCAGTAGCAGGGAAATGGACACCAAGGGGGTGCAATAAGGCGGGGTTGTGAGAACCCCCTTGCGCAGGCATGCCAAGTCCCCCAGCGGGAAAATGTCGGTTAGTGTCGGGTTGGGGACTGGGGTGGGAATGAGGGATTCCTGCGTGTGGGGCTTTCAGGCGTCGGGCGAGTTACCGTAGTGCCTGTAAGCTTTGATAACTCAGTTGGAACGTCACGCCCAATGTTGTGTCCGGCGTAATTTCGCTAAGGCTGTTTTTCGGCAGTCGCCACCAACTGTACGGCGCATCGCAACTTTCAAACTGAAATCACCTGAACTTTACGACATGTCCATCGTGGGCGGGGTGGGGCCCGGGGTGGGTGGGTGGGCGTTCCCGTCCCTCCGGGGGGAGCTCTCGTGCGTTCTCCGGAGCTTCTGTTGGGGGACTGGGCGTTTGCCTCTTGGAATTTGCGGTCCGTTTGGCTTTTCTGGGGCGGAGGTTCGCATCCGGTTTTGTCAGGATGGTTCTTTTCCTGGTAATGGTGTGCCTCGCCATTTTTATACGCCCATCCTGTGCTTTTATCGCCTTTTTCAGAAAACTTATACATTGGCCGGGACATTTTGATTCATCGCGTGCTGAAGCCCTGAGCTAGTGACGCGTTCATGGCTTGCCGAGTCCGTAAGGCCCCAGCGTGTGCTGTAAGCACTTGTAGCCGTCCTGGCTCCGCTGCAAGGATTGCCTTCTGAACTATGAATGAAAATCAACCTAAGCGTTTATTGACCTTAAAAATATGGACCCGACAGGTTGGCCTTTAAAGCGTCCAAAGCTCATATAGAGCGGAGTCCGCTCTGAGTCAAACCTTCTGCAAAATGCAGCCAGCTGCCAGCCGGTTTATTACTTCTGACCTTAGTCATTTTACTCCAGAATTATAAATAAAGTCATGTAAATACTGCCTCACCTGTGTAGACAGGCCTTGACACCGCGAACGCAAAACGTCCGGTCAACCGTTTCATGTGCATTCATGCCGTATGCTGCCTGCATCACAAACTTCCCGGATCCGATAAGATTATAAATAAGCAACTATGTTAGGCAATGTCCGATCCCTAAAGTGGCCAAAGGAAGTAGAGCTGCAAACAGAGGATGGCCCGTTGGCCGACAGCCGAGCGCCGCCTCACCGCGACCCTCGCCCGTCGCACAAGGCTACCCGTCGCCTTCGCAGCCTTGACCATTGTGCTATGTCTCCACAAAGTTTTATGTCTATCAGCACCCGCTCAAACAAACACCAGTACCAAAGGCCCTAGGAAAGGAGCCGCCGTTGCGGCCAACCCTGCAGCCGCCGTTCCGGACGCCAGCCTTTACTTCGAGCCCTACGGCAGCGAAACTATACCAGAGGATCAGCAAGGCTGCACCTACAGCATTCCCGTGCCGATTGGTAATGCGGAACCGCAGGGCGCAGGGCCCGCCTCCTCCACCGGCTCGTCTCCGGCGGCGGCGAACCCCCCTCCCGCCTGGTTCGGAATCAATCTCGGCAATTTGCCCATCTTTCCCTTCCACCGCGCGAGCTTGGAAGAGAGCCCGGCGGAGCTGCGGCAGCTGCTCAGGGTCCGCGGGGCTGGGGGCTGGGGGGCTGGGGGGAGGAAGAAGCGTCCCGCCGCTGAGGTCTCCACCATCCGCTTTCCCTGCCGTGCTTGGTGCCTCTCACTGCTTGGGCCTGTCTGGCTGCCTGGGACTGCTTGACTGCTTGACGTGATAATAAGAGACCTTCGTTTCACTCGGCCTCGCACGTGCACGTGCCGTCGCCCTTCACCTTGGTATCCAGCCCTGGAGCGAGCAGGCACTGGTCCCTTCCTCCCTTCCCCCCTTCCACACACACACAGGGTCTGCACGAGCCCACTCCATGACGTTACACGTCGCCACGTGACCTCCGCATGCCTCGCAGCCTCAACACCGCTCGGCCACGCGCACGAACCCGTCCCATGTGCCCATGCTGCCATGTGCCCATGGGGAGCTGTTTACCTCGACCCACCTCCCTACAGGACGCCGTTAACGACCTGGCGGACGCGGGGGGTAACCTGCTGCGTGTTTTGTTTCATTTCGACGGCGCTCTGAATCCATGCTGGGCCGACAACACGGCGGGACCCGCAGCAACATCGAAGACAGATGGTGCGGGCCCGCCGACCCGTGGGTCGACGACGCCGACGGCGGCGGTGGTGGTTGGCTGTGGCGATGCGGCTGTCGAGGATCTCCTTTGGCTGCTGCGGCAGTGCCATCGACGGCGTGTCAAGGTGCTGCTGACGCTGTGGTCGCACGACATACTGGCGGTACGCAGGTAGGTGTCTGTGTGTGTGTGTGTGCGATGGCGGGATGGCGGGGGGAGGAGGCGGGCAGTCCGGCGGGCAATGACCCACAGGACCCACAGTATTTAGCGCCCCGTTGGGCCCCTCCTGGCAGGAAGTAGTGAATCACGACAAGACTGCATGATGTATATGATTCACTTCACCACAGGCTATGTGACCTGGTGCCGCCTTGCCGCCGCTGCTGGGGCAACGCGCGCCTCCACCCCCCACCCTCCACCCCCCACCCTCCACCCCCCACCCTCCCCACATCTGCCAGGTAAAGCAGCTAAACTGGACACATTCCTGGGTGGGGAGTTAATGGCCAAGCAGCACTCCCGTACCCCACCCAACCCCGGTTCATGCCCCCCGGCCCCCCCGCCCCCAGAGACAACCCGCCGGAGAACAGAGACCGGGCGCTGTACTTGATGCGCACCTCCGCCGGCACCTCCGGGTACGTGGACAACTGCCTGACGCCGCTTGTACGGCACCTGGCGGCCACACCCATTCCCCCGCCGTACGCCGACGATGTGCTGGCCGCCCTTGACAAGGTGGAGGTCCTCCGCCGTGCCGCGAGCCGGGCCGCCGCCGCTGCGCGAGTGGTGGTGGGGGGCCGCAGCGCACCGCCGTCGGGCAACCTAGGTGCCCAGGAGGAGGAGGAGGAGGAGGTACAGCCGCCACAGCCGTTGAAGCCCCCGCCGCCCAAACAGAAACAGAAACAGAAACCGACGCTGGCGCCGACGTTGACGCGGCGCCCAAATCCGATTCCATATCCAAAGCCCTCGGCAACACGGCAGCCACCCCCACCCCCACCCCCACCCCCACAGCCACCCCCACAGTCGCAGCCACAGTCGCAGTCGCAGTCACCGGGAGATATGGCCAGCTCACTTCACGTGTCGCCCCTCACGCACCCAGTAGGCTATCCCGGGACCACAGCGCTTCCCGGAGGCGATGTAGATGAAGGCAGCGGTGCCGGCGACGGAGGTGGATCCCCAGGCGGTGCCGCCGCCGCCACCGCCACCGCCGCAGCGGCAGCGGCAGCGGCAGCGGCGGTGGAGGCCGTGAGCCTGGAGTTCTCTGCTGCCGCCACGTATTCCTCCGTGGTGATGGGCTACGACCTGTTCAATGAGCCGGAGGGCACCAGCTGGGACCTGCGCCTCTACCATTTCTACATGTACGACAGCTAGCTGCATGGATGGATGGAGCAGACGGAGCGGGGGAAGGGAGGGGAGGGCGCTGCAAGTCAGGTTCCTCGCGATGCAGAGTCCTCCTCACACATGGCCCATTTGCCTCACCTCGCCACAGGGGCCTGGTGGCCCGGCACACCGCTGAGGGCGTGAGGGCTCTGGGGCTAGGGCGCCGTTGTGTGTGTATGTATGTATGTATGTATGTGTGGCCGCGCGTCCGATCCCGCCTCGTCCCCTGCCGCCGCGCAGGTACAATGCTGAGTGGGGACAGTACGAATTCGAAAATCCGGCCGTCTTCGACACCCGACCTGAGCGCGCCGCCGACTACCGCTCCACCCGGGTGGGGTGGGGTGGGGTGGGGTGGGGTGGGGCAGTACGTAGGATTGGAGTGGATTGTAGTCCGGTGTGGGATGTGGGGGTGGGAGGAGAGGAGTACTTCTGTTGGGACTGTTCGGTCTTTCCTGGCCTCTGCCTTAGCTCCGGTGCGGGACGAGCGGAGGAAAGGGGGGACGAAGGGGAGCCGCTGTCCCGCCAGCTGGAGGGCACCATCGGCCGTTAGACTCCTCACATACCGCCCACACAGCGTTTAGGGCTTTTTCCACCATACCGTACCACTGCGAACTGGGGGCCTCTGGTGGGGGAGAGGGTCGTGTGTGGTCGGCCGCTGTGTGCCCCCCCCCCCCACCACCACCACCACAGAGCGATTCAGTGGTGACGACCGTAGGGCTCTGCCGCCTGCTGCTCGGTTAACCGACTCCATGGCGTTACCGCTGTGCCGTACGGTATTGATGTGCATGTGCGTGGTGGTGGGTCTCCTTTCCTCGTTCTGGCTGTGCCCCCTGATGTGCTGACATCAGCACCACGTCACCATCATGAATACTAATTTGACATGGGGGAATACCACAGACAGACAGTCCGATAGTCAGATAGACAGACATGCATACAGACAGACAGACAGACAGACAGACAGACAGACAGCGGCCTGGCGCATGGCTACCAGGAATGCTCTGGTCCTGCAACCGTACACCCCAGATGATAATCATGTGAAATATTGATGCCGTACAGCCAACCGCCGCATTTACAGCCTCACGCCGTACAGGGCCAGACCGTACGTGTCCCGGAGTCCGGCAATCGATTGATGACCTGTTTCCCTTCGGCCCCCTCCCCCCCCGTGCACGTGTGTGTCCATGCACCTATAATACACACATGGATAGCACAGGTCGTCAAGGTCTTTGGGGGAAACGCTTCTGAGGTGCCGGTGGGTGGCTGGGGGGCTGGGTGGGTGGGTGGAAACGACTAAGGGTTTTCCTATCTGTCTGTCTGTCTGTCTGTCTGTCTGTCTGTCTGTCTGTCTGTCTGTCTGTCTGTCTGTCTGTCTGTCTGTCTGTCTGTCTGTCTGTCTGTCTGTCTGTCTGTCTGTCTGTCTGTCTGTCTGTCTGTCTGTCTGTCTGTCTGTCTGTCTGTCTGTCTGTCTGTCTCTTTGTTTGTTTGATTGATTGATTGTGTCAATGTGTAGCGTTGCAACATATCCGCCCTTATCTATGTCATGTCGGTGCTCCCCCCTGATCTAACTCAACTTGGGGCTGTTACTCAACTGTTTTGGTAGCCCCCTTACAGCGGGGTGAATCGGCTGAGCCTACGAAGAAAGGGAAGCAGCGGTCCCTGCGTGTGCACGTGCCTGTGTGTGTGTGTGCTCGCGTTATGTCTTCGGAGACGCTCGTCCTCCCTCCTGGCGCGAAACCAAGGCGACCAGGACGTATCACGAGCTGCACATACACACAGGGCGGTCATATTCGCGCAGTGGAACATGCACTCACCCCCAGGGCCGCAAAGATGTACTACAGTACGAGGGCTGGCACTTCGTTGCGGGCAACAGGCCGCCGCCGCCACCAGCCGTTTCTTCGAACGCGAGCCGACGGACCAGCAGCCGTGATGCCGACGTCGGCTGCCTGTCGAGGGGCTCTCTCCTGTCCGCCAGCGTTGCTTCTGCGACCTCCCCGCCATCAGAGCCGCTCGGTAACGTATCTTGCACCTCGGGATATGAGCAATTCGGCGCTTTGACGGATGCCGTACGCCGGTACGAGCAGAATGCGTCCCAGCTTGGTCCATGCGGGTTGCCGACGGAAGGTCGTGGTTTCGGCGCCGCGGACCGCAGCCTCACGGTCACTCCCATCGCTGCTGCGTCAGCAGCGGAGGCGAAGCCGGTGCCGTGGTACGGCAACGCCAGTCTGGCGGCGGAATGGGAGGCCCTTGCCGTCAAGGTCAGCCGTACACCTACGCCTCCGGACGGTGGTGGTGGAGGGCCGCCGGGCTGGGGCAGCAAATGGTTTAACAAGTACTTGTACTGGGACGTCATCGAGCAGTACAACTCCGAGATGTCGTACCTGCTGCCGCTGGTGAGCACCGACGTAGACCACTGACTCCGCCGTGTTGACAGGTTTCGCTGCACGTGGCGGGCTGAACAACGAGATTTGGGGTGGATGCTTGAAATCCCGCTATATAGATAAGAAGCGTCTGGCGCAACGTTTGTGCTACACACAGACAGTACGGCAAGTATGATCAATGACCTTATCTGTCCCAGCCCCATACTGTGTACTGCACGTGTCGTACAGATCACCAGCTGCCGTCTACGTACCGCCGACATAACGCCGCCGCAACTGCAGCGGTTCCTCTCACGATTGGCAGCTGCCGTACACAAGGCCGACCCGCGGGCTAAAGTCACGGTTGGAGCGCATAGCGTGCCGTACTGTACGGAAGCCCAGGTGGGGCGGGTTGGGGTGGGTGAAAAGCGTAGCAGAACCGCAGATGGATTGGAGATGGTTTGGATTTCATTCCCGTCGCGGTTTCCTCCCTGCTTTGTTGGGTGCCCTACCACCACGCAGCAAACCACCAAAACCCACGGTGGGCCAAGTACCCGTCCACGTTGCACACAATGTCCGTTGTGGCTTATGGGGGTTACACACGTCCATACACACACACACTCTGCCACACTGTGTGTTGCAGTGGCTCAAGCACCATATCGACCGCTTCGAAGGGCGCCCGCGGAACCTCTACTCTGACGCGGCCCTCAGGTGGGTGGGTCTACTGCCTCGGGCTCTCTAGTGTTGGGAGCTGCCCCGAGCTCTCTCAGGTCTGCAGGGGCCGGCCCCACTGCCGCTCGCTTTAGATTGCTCGCAGGCGGGCCTTCCGGTTGCGTAACGGCAGCATAGGGCCCGGCTGGGATCCCTCGGGACTGGGCACATTGGACTTCTACTCGCCGCACGGCTACCCCGTTTGGGGCGATTCCGACGTCACGGGTCTCGTCTCGCCCTTCTACACCTCCGCATGCGTCTTTGAGCTGGACAAGCCGGCGCTGGTCGGGGAGATTTGGAACAGGGTGAGGTCCGTGGTTGGTTGTGTGTGCGTGTGTATGTGTGTAAGTGTGTATATGTGTGTGTGTACGGACCCGTTACGGTGTCTCTCCTTTTTGCCAGGTGTCAGACAATGATCCCCTCACGGCGGAGAACTGGCAGCAGCTGTACGACAAGGGCGGCTACATGGGTGGGTATTGGGTGGGTGGCCGGTCCGCTGTATGTTTGTAGGTGTCCCCTAGGCCCCAAATGTTACAATGTAGCAGCAGCCCGAGTGTGAAAGCCACTGCATGCAACCAAGCACCGGCACAAGCACACGCTCAGCTACGCCTCCGACACCACCTTATCCCTTCCAAACACGCAATACGCATGAAGCTCACGGTTGTGTTTGGTGCTAATGGTTTTCGGTCCAGGGGGCCTCGGCTGGGCGATGCTGCAGGTGGTCGAGGCGCCGCTGAAGAAAAGTCCGGCTCCAGGCAGAGGTCCCCAGGCCAGCAGCAGCAGTAGCAATAGCAGTAGCAATAGCAGTAGCAATAGCAGTAGCAATAGCAGTAGCAATAGCAGTAGCAATAGCAGTAGCAATAGCAGTAGCAATAGCAGTAGCAATAGCAACAGCAACAACAGTAGCAACAGCAATAGAAACAGCAATAGAAACAGCAATAGAAACAGCAATAGCAACAGCAGTAACAGCAGCAACAGCAGTAGCAGCAGCAACAGCAGTAGAAACAGCAGTAGCAGCAACAGCAACAGCAGCAACAGCAGTAGCAGCAGCAACAGCAGTAGCAGTAGCAGTAGCAGTGGCAATTATGGGGAAAACGGCATTGCTGGCAGTTGCGATAGCAGCAGCAGCAGTAGCAGCAACTCCGGGTGTGTGTCTCAGTGCACACAGTTGGCGGCACCCCGGCGCGTCTTAGATCACGAGAACCGCGCGACCTTCCTGGCCCTGCTGCGGGCGATGGCGGACAGCCGCGCTCCGTAGAGCCCGGCCAGCGAGTAACTAGGCGAGAGGTACCGAGGGTTACCGCAAATAATAGAAGAAATTACTTGTAGTGGCAGCGAATCTATCTGGCTGGATGACGCATCTTGAACGTTTTTTTAAGTAAAGTTGCAGGAAAAGGTTGTAGCACTAGGTTTTGGTTGCACTTAGGGGCGACTTGGCGGCTGTGAGGTTGTGGGGGTTATGGTTCTACTAGTAGAAGCAGATGGGAAAGACGGTGCTCGCTCATTTCCCACGAGCGGGCGTAACGTAAGAGATTTACGGGCGAACGATGATGTGAAGTGGACGGCGGTTTGGAAAGCTCACCCGCCATTCCAGGTGCTGCTAACAGCACACACGTGCAGCATTCTCTGCAGCTCCTTTGTTCATGTCGGTAACTTTTGCTGTGTCGGTCGTTACACCCCTCACGGAAATCACCAAAACCATCTAGCACGGCATCATTACTATGTAATAGAATAGCACAGGTCCGCCAAACACGGCCCGGGAAACCCAGGAAAGTGGGCCGTGATGAATCAACGTCGTACAAGGATGTAGTCCGCCAGACCGCCAGGGAAAGCTGCTTAACGGCGCCAAACGTGCGCATCAATGTGATTTCTCGGAAAGGGTTTCTGCTGAAGGCATCCCGCATTGACTGCAAAAGGGTTCGCAAGTGGGAGCGTGTAACACCGATATACCAAAGATTTACGGACCATCCGTACTATTTATTCCACTCACAACAGGTGTAAAACACACACACACACACACGCACACACACACACGCACACACACACACACACACACACACAAAGCCTCCTAGGTGCGTTGACCAGCCTAAGGCAACAAGACATGCCGTACACTGTTGCCCGCAACTCCCAACTGCTGGTACAAGACAAGCATGAATGAAGTACCCAGCCAAGCTCCACTTGTAGTCAACAACGTACCCCCCCGGGTGTGCGTCCAGCCGGCATCAATGCCTCGCGCAGGTCAATGGACGGGCGGTCTCATCCAAGTCTGCCATAGGCAGCTGCTGCAGCATGGGCGGGGCCGGGACTAGGCACGACGAGGCCGCCCACTGCCAGGCGCTGAAGCAGCGCGACGGCGTCGCCGAGGCGCTCCTCCCGAATGGTCAGGTACTCTCGGTGCTTGGCCACGTGCAAATCTTCCTGGAGCAGGCGGCGCGCCGCTGCAGGCGGATGGCAGGTGGGCACCATGGAGCGTGCAGGTACGGAGACGTACGGGAACCAGTCATGGATAAGCCTGGAATCTGACTGCTGTGTGTGCGTGTGTGTGCGTGTGTGTGCGTGTGTATGTGTGTGTATGTGTGTGTATGTTGGACCCGTGGATGCCGCTGTTTCGTGTAGGCGGCGTTACTTTCTGCGGGCGTATCGTCTCGACGTCGTGTTCTGCATCCTGCGTTGCCTTGGCGTCAGGTACGGTTAGCTCATGACTTCTGTATTCATGGACGTTCGTGCAAGCAGCGACGACAATGAAGACCAGCGGACTGAAACCAGAAGAGGATTGCAGCACGCCATGACTGTTTTGGTGGTGGGTATCTATGGGGCAAAGCGTAATGGCTTTCACGGGCTCGCGGATCCCGAGAGCAGGCCGCATAGCCGTGTCGGTTGCCAGAGTCAAGTCCAGAAACCGATATCGCGGAAAAGAAAGCCAGGACTGCGCACATAATCACCTATTGCCTAACTAGACACGTGCGCAAGTGGGACGTTTGTGCCCCCCCCCAGCAGCCCGGGGGCCATGTACCTTCTTCCCGGCTGCCTGCCCCCTGCATGGCGCTCTGCAGCAGGCTGTTCCGCAGGTGGGCGGTGAGCTGTTCCTTAGACCCCAGGGGCCTTTCCAGGTGGAAGCGGATCTGCTTGGGCACCGAGTCCTGGAGGCTCCTGAAGAGGACCTGGGTGCAGCGGGACGGGGAAGGACGGGTTCGGGTTGGGTTGAGTTTAAGAAAGTCAGACGTACGTTCAGACCGCTCGCGCTACCGTTGATGGTGTGGTCATCGAAAGGTTTTGGTGTCACGTAGCAGAGAAGGTGGGGTCGCCGGCCGTAGTAGCTGAGGGCCTTTGCAGCACCACATATGGCTTAAGCCTGCGAGGTCTGCAGTAACACATCGGATGCCTAGGCCGGAAGTGACGGAACCACGCACGTGTCGAAGTGAAAAACGGATGGCATTATAACAACTTATGACCTTGCACGGGCAGGACATTAATATACCTTATAACCGTGGCAATGCCCTGCAAAGTAACTGCAGTGCTTTCTCCGCGCGATTATGGAAGGCCACGGCCGTTAAAGGGCATTGGGCCACGGCCATGGATCAGCTCTCGTCCATTATGAAGGGGCGTGCTTGCAGCTACTAGCGCGCCAATATTTCCATGACTTGGATAACTAATAGTTGCACACACACACTTGTAACCGGACCACAAGTGTCCGCGTCCTCGAGAATCAGTGAGAAAGGTCTCCGCCGTTACGATTTTCGGAGCGGCGGTGTGGCGCAAAACCCCTGAAGCAAGCAGATCTCACCTTGAAATACGCCAGGGCTGCAGCCATCATCGCCAGCTCATCGTCCACCGCCGTAGCCGTGTCCTGTGTAAGCGACGCCAACGCAGTGGAGCAAGTTCCACTTCTCAACAACTCCGGAGCAATCCACCGCACATGACCTCGCAGCGGACATGCCCAATACAGGGAACAGCGTAAAGACGCTCTCTCGCACGCCGGGTCATCCTAACACGCCGGGTCACCTACACGTTACAGCAAACCAAGCGGCCAATCTCCCGTTCCAATAGCCGGTAGCTAAGTGTCACTTTTGGCCAGCGGACAAGCGGATGCCATCAGTTGCACACATTCTGGGCCCGGCACTACCAGCCGGTGCCGAAAGGATAAAAGAGTTGCGCGCGGCTATAGCACACACACACACACACACCCCAAGTCTCCGGCCTTACCGCCTGCTGCTCGCCCACGTAGGCGCCCTTCAGGCGCCCCAGCAGCTTCAGGTACTTCCGCCGGAAGCCGATATCGCTGAGCGTGAAGAGGTCGTCGCCTTCCATAGCCTCCAGCTCGCACACTCGCATACAGGTCATCCTGACCTGTTCATCCAAAAATAATGACAGATCGTACCTGCATATGACATATATTTGGGCGCCAATGTGAACCAGGACAGCAGCGTGGGGCTCGAGCTCGCGGTGTCAGGCTGCTAGGCGCTGTCTATTGACTGATTTGCGGCCAGCGACATTGTGCAAAGTTACACGGCTAACGACACGCCATAAGCATATCAAACTGCCGATCAAATTGCACTGCCGGCTCCCTGGACAAATGCTTCTGCATACCAATTACTAAACCGCATGTCTTGCGATGTGGCTTGTCCATGTCCCTTTTCCACGTCTATGTCCCCTTCCCACGAGAAAGCGGTGTGCGAACTTCCTCATTCCGTAGCCCCACTGCATTTATTGCTTTTTGCATGGTAAGCCAACCACACCCCCTGCGGCTCTCACGCACCAGGTGGCACTCTCCGCGCTTGGGTAGCAGCACATGGTATCCCTGACCGCCTGGCGGGCCACTTGACGCACCAGCGCCTCCACAGTGGAGACGCACTGCCTCGCCGGCTCGGCCCAGCCGGTAGTGTACCGCAGCACCAGCCCCTCCACGGCCGAGTACGGCAGGAAGACCGGCAGCTCGCGGCCCCGGCACCTTTTGCGTTGCTCCGCCACCTCTTCCAGGGTGATGAACTCCAACGGGAAGCCCGCGTCAAGCAGGGCAGTCCGCAGCCGCTTGACGCCGGGGTCGCTGGTGTTATCGCTCAGCAGGGCGGCACGAATGGTGTCAGCGCTGCCATAGTTCTCACACTGCAGGTACTCCCAAACGTTGATCTCATCCTTGCCCTCTGTAGACGCAAGAAGGAGGATGGCCACCAGGGTTGGCCAAAACAGTGGCCTGGAGCTGCTATGGGGATTTAGGTGTCATCTTCCACGCATGCTTTAGTCCTCCACCCAGCACCTCCTAAAACCTAGGCTGCTTACTGGTGGATTATACACGGCCGTGTGCACAGGTGTCTCATTCTGCTGCTATGGATAAAGCATTCGAAAAGGCCCCCATGGGAGCATCTCCTCCCGTGCACATAAAAAACGGCACATACAGCACCACATGCACACAGGTCAAGGCCAGGACAGGCGAGCGCGTCGGAATGTACACCGAAAGGAGAGCTGCGATGCTGTACAGATAGACGCACAACATTTATCGGGTCACTGCCAGATTGCAACAGCCTAGAGCTAGCTGCTATGGACACCGACTCAAGGACACCGCAAGCTCATGGCCCCAAACAGACCACGCAGAGCCGTGCAAGCAGCTGTAATAAGCGCCCCAAGTGGTTCAGTCTCCAAAGGCTCTAGTAGTCCAGCTCACCAGAGGCCTGCTGCCCTGCACGGCTCCTACGTAATGCGCTGAAGAGGCGGCCGTTGACGTAGAACACAGGCATGGTGCGGGACAGTGCGTCGCAGAACTCCTCGTACGTGCCCACCAGCTGGCGATACAGCGTTGCGTCTGAGCCGTTGACAGGCCGCAGCTTGAGATGCAGCCGGTCGGCAATCTGTCGCAGCAGGCCCTCCAACTCGAACAGCGGCTCATTTGAGGGCGGCTTAGGGAGTTCCGCACGCTGCTTTCGCACGGAATCCAGCTGCTTCCGCGCGCTGTCCCTTATGTCCGGCAGCTGCTTCTGCACCTGGTCCACAAGAATGGCGCTCAGCCCAGCACGCAGGTTGTCGGCGCCGGTGCGGTTCTTGGGCGCGGAGGACCAGTGGCTGTCGGTGTTGAAGAATCGGCGCTCCTCCTCACGCGCCTGCTGGGACGTGATACCAGCGTTGAGGCGGTCTTGGCCTGGGTTCTTGACGACCCAGTAGCCAAGCGCAAGGTGGTTGGCAGGGTCGGCGCGTTTTACGAGGTTAAGCCAAAAGTCGTGCTGGCCGCTAGGTATGTTATCGGGTTTGGTGATAACTGCGAGCGTCCGCAGGCCCTCGGGGTCCTCCTGCTGGGCCATGAGCTTGATTGCCTGTGTGCATAAACAAAGAAATATGCATGACAGGATAGACAGGTAGGGGGTTTCTTATTTGAACCAGATAAGAACATCAACCTATACAACACGCATTTCCCTAGGACGGCTGCTTGCTAGATAGATGGGATTGCGGCATAACTGCTGCCTGCGAGTGGCATGTCGCGATCTAATACCGGCCTCTTGTTCCACCAATAACAGCTGGGCGGATGCTTGGCTTTCGACTTCCAAGTACTGGCGAAATACTGAAAAACAGCTTTAACCGTCAACCGTTCCAATAGACACTGCCGCACCTGGTTGTCAGGGTCGTCCATGGCAGTTATGGTCATGACAATGATGTGGTGCTTATGTGAGATGTAGTCTCTGGTCATCTGTTTCACCAGGTCTATGTAGCCCTGGCCCTTTGGGTGCGCCTGAATGATACCTTTAAGACCGCAGGGGATCAGGCAGCACGGGGGGTTGGGTTTGCAAGTGGATTATCCTGGACGAACAAGATCCATTGGCGAATGTGCAAGGCAACCTCATCTATATCCAGTAAAGGTTGATGACTGTAGCCAGTCAAGCTCCCATAGAGCTGAAGTCATGCACGCAGTGACCGACGTTTTAATCAGGTCGGGCACGTAATTGCACTGGCACAAGGCCTAGATCCCAATTTGTTCGGCTTGGAACGGCGGTTAGCCTTCCCGAGGCATCCTAAGATCGGGAGAGATAATGGCACAAAAAAGACTTGTGGACGTCCGTAGCGCGCACCAGGCAGGTCGACAATGGTGAGATCAGCTTCTGCGCCGTCGATTTCCAGTAGCACAGAGTTTGCCGTGAAATCCAGATCGTTTTCCGACCCGTCAACCAGCGCCTGGTACGCGAGGGAGTTTACAAGGCGGCCACTAGACGCGTCAAACTCGACCCCTGGTATGGCGTCGGTGCCAGAGCTCTCAAGCCGCGGGGCGTAAGACTTGTAATCCCCATTTACGCGTGAAGGGTTGAGCAGCACAGCCTGCGCGGCTGTGACGCACGCGGCAATATGCCCCTTGTCATGCACCTCGCAGAACTCGTGCTCGGAAGCCACGGGCAGCGGCAAGCCGTTGCTGTCGCGTTCGAAGCGTAGCTTAATGGCGCAGCGCCAGGCCGAGGCAGCGGCCGCCACCGATGACGAGGTCGGCATATCTCCGGCAATGTCCGGGGCCCGGGCCGCACGTTGGGAGGTCCTGAGCAAAGAAGCATTACACAGGAGGGATGCGGCTGGCAGCAACGTCATCTGTATAATCCAATTCCCCGGCGCTTGATCCCGAGGAACACGTACGCCCGGGCGCCATGGCGCATGTTGGCCTCGGCATCCGCCTTGACTTGTCACTGGTCCAAGCGTACTTTTGGCCAGCTCGCCGCAAGTGGTTGAACGGAAGATATGTGCGGCTCCCGACACCACTACCCATGATCAGGCGGCGAAACCCCAAGCCCGACATAGTAGGACCACGTGAGAAAACTGAAGAAGAGCCGAACTCACCTGAGCCGCAGCTCCGTGGGGCACCTTGTGCAGGTTCCGGATGCCCGCGGCAACGCTACCTCCGCGATGGCTTCCACGAGTGAGGACTTGCCCGAGGACTGGTTGCCGCCAACCACCAGGATGGGTACGCGCAGGTCATGCGAGACACCCAGCGCGCGCAGGCCATTGAGAGCCTGAAGCACTTGCGAGGAAACCTGTCGGTATTGCGAACCGGCGAGGCTACTGCCGGCCGTGGAGAAGCCTGGTGCAGCCGCTGACAGGGCATTCGATGCCGCCGGCGGGAAGCCAGTCAGTGCAACTGATGGCATGGAAATCGGCGCTAACTGCGCGGCAGCTTTTTTCAGGCGCATGCCTCGATGTAATCGATGAAGGGCGTTGGGTCACACCAGGTAAGCCTTGCGCGCCCGGTATGTTTGTCGGTATAGACGACAAACCAGGCTAGTGCCAAGGTTTGCGACTGCCTTCGTCACAGCCAGTCACAGCTTTGCCTTTGTTAGGCGAGCCCAACCGCGGACAAGACACCGAATAACGATGCAGATATTAAGCTCGGCTTGACGTTGCAAGCCGTCGAAAAGCAAGCTGTTGTACAACATAGTTGTCGCAGGTGTTCACGGGTGTAGTACAACAATTCCAGATTAGGACATCGTCGGTTGAGCACATCACGGATTGCCGTCTGAGTCTTGGCGATTCAGGGCAACACAACTTGTATGCTTTCTTTTCGTAAAAAGGCTTGAATAATTGGCGAATTTTACGGCCACCTGTTGACGGGGAGATGCCTAGACCTGGCTTGGGCGCAATGGTTACTAGTGACCAAGTGTTTACTGAGAAGATAATTCCCTTCCAGAAGGTGGTCACTAGGAAATCTTTAGAGTCACCTGCCAGTATCCAGGTGGTCGCCAAGAACTTGGGCCACAGACCCCCTTAGTGACCACCTAAAAGTTTTTTTGACGCTTGGATGGGAGCAGTGATGCTTCAATGAGCTCGGCTCGGGAACGCGTTGCCGTACATAGAGTCAAGGTTGATGCAAGCTTGCCTAGACCGATTGTTCATTAGAACTTCTTCAAGTGAAGTCGGATCTTCGGATGCATGGTTCTAGGGGGCTCCTGTTCAGCATACTCGCTGGGAAAAAAATTTGTACCCCACAGTAACCACTTGGTCACTAAAACATTACCACGGTGAAAAAGTTTTTAAAACACTTCTTGGGCGCAGAGGCTGAGGCACCCTTGTCCGAGAGCTGCAGCACACAACGCCACCTCTTAGGACCCATAGAGTCCCCAGGATTTTGCTAAGGGATTTTGCACGGTCTGGAGCACCCTGAAACCGGTGCAACTGCCCCATGATGATTGATTCTGGAGTTAGGGATGCGGATCAAACCTGACCGCCGCCTCTGACCCACCGAAGGCCCGAAGGCCACTGTACTGGACCCGCAGGCTTACTGTTTTAACATTATGCTGTCCGAAGCACGAGCAATGCTGCTGTACTTCCCCTGTCTCATCGAGAGCAGCAAGAGGTGATGCAATGCAAGCACACGTTTCCTGCATGGATTAGCGGGAATAAAGCATGAAGATATGGCGCATACGGGTACTGCGGATTTTGCACGGATGGTTTGTCACTGTGGGTTACGGTCCCACTGCCTGCAATGAGGTCCGCTGCCAAGTGCCGAGGGACAATACATGAGCCTTTGAGAAGAGATAGGTGCTCTTAATCCATTGGCCTCCATTGCATTCCCCAATTTCATAGAGTACATCTACCGGCGTGTCTTGGCACACGGTTTGGCGGGTTTGGTGGATTTACACCTGCTGCACCGCGGTATGATATATTACCATTATTCCCATAAAAAACATCACTATTGATCTGAACGGGCGCCGTGCCAGCTGGAGAGTGGGAGATTGGCACTCGCCCCGGAGTCGCTCGCAAGCCGGCGTGGGTCTGGCAGCGTGGGAGACTGAATCTCACAAGCTTTTAACGAGAATCATAACCAGCGGCTTTAATGGGCACTATATACTGGCCAAATAACGGACAGACAATACCTCCATACAACCTTCAAGATTGTCGACCTATCCATAACCATGATACCAGCAGGCAATTGTAAAGAAAGATCAAAAATCGAAGGAATGAACTGGAAACCGAAGGATTTCTGCCGCGAAACGAAAGGTTCGAAACTCCCAGTACCATGAACAAACAGCTGAGCTGCTGGGAACGATGTAAGGACAAAGGTGCATGTGCACGATTCATTACAATGTCCTTGTATGTCTGTGAATGTGCCTTTCTCTGGGTCTATCCCACGCTATTCGGGTTTGCCGGACAAGCCGTGCAAATTGAAAGTGTCAGATGGACAGCCTCATCCTTGGAACCTGAGATGACCCCGGTCCAGCGCATAGCTTGCAAAAGGCGTTGTAATACAGAATAGCTTGGTATTTGGGCTGCATTGCTAATAGGTAGAATCACCCAGCGTTGACGCAGGCCGAGTATTCCTGAACGGCCCCGTTACCTGCTGATGGCAAAGCTTTTTGACGTGTGGGACCTTGCTGATTGAGGAAAGGCGCGCCCAGGGCACCCAAGGGTGCTATCGCACAGCTGGGGCAGTAACAATGAACAACTCCGCAGACGAATTCCGGCAATCGATTGAAGCAAGCTTGCCCCCGTTGACACAGTATAGCATCCAAGCTAGCGCACCTGGTTTATATGGAGCTTTTGGTTGGGGACTATTGGCTGCTAGTCGACAGCTGGAGGTCGATAGCGTGCGTGCTTCAGCAGATGATGGCGAACGTAGCCCTTCATTAAGAACATCTGCATCGCTTCGGAGCTCTTTTCCACCGTTCCAAGCAGGAGAAGCGCAAGATGTGCGTGACGCGCATCAGTCATCGGTCAACCTTAACGGCGCGGCAAACCAATCTGGCCCGGGGCCTGAGCAAGCGCATCCTGCGTCCATGGAGCGATTTGCGACGGCACAGGAATACTCTTTGAACTTCCAGCAGGAGCAGGCGTCGCCAGCAGTGCACCACGTGAACAAGCCCCCAACGGCACCCCCAGGGCCAGCGACAGGCTACAACGCCGATGCTGCTGTCACTGTGCAGATCACAAACATGCCGGGTGCACGGCTTTATCCGCCGATTCCCGATCAGCAAGGGCATATCCCACGGGCAGTGCCGCGGGAGGAAGTAGGGGGTCTCTTCTCCTCACCAATGCGACCCGGGTCGCCGCCAGAAGCCCAGGACTCCGGCTTCGCTGAGGATGCAGCCTTCGCAGCCGGGCGTGGCCCATCATCCCGACATCAATCCCCCAACGGAAAGGCTTTCTTTGCAAAACGCCACCAACAACACGGAAGCCTAAGCGGCGTGGTGCAAGGCAAAGTCGTGCACATGCGGAGGACAGAAGCCTGGACCAAATTTATTGCGTATGAGGGCTGCCTCCAGGTAGTAGGTAGCGGGTGGGGGGGGGGCTGATAAGGCCTGCTGCTTGCGGTGCACCACCAGCAGCTGTTTAATATTGATCCTTGCCAACGCATCATCGTGCAACTGCAATGTTGCATATGGTTGCTGCCTTACGTGCACTGGGTTTTGGGAGGTTTACACAAAGCTTATCGTCCTCCCTCTGTACAGGTTTGCATTGCGGAGCTTGACGGAGGAAATAATGCGGACGCACGATATTTTGTGGCGGGGGGCTTTACGACTTTACGGAAGGGCCTCGGGATTGACGGGTTGCTCCTAAGCCAGGTGGGCTGCTCCAGCGGGTATTGTAATGACACGCGTTGCATGTGGTTGCAGGTATGCCAATGGACTATGAATACGTACACCTGGCTAAGCTGCCGAGGCGTTGCCGTCTTTCAATGATTCCTTGTGCAATGAAGCGGTGAGCAGGGATTGTCCAGTGCTTTTAACTCATTCTCTTTGCGGTGCCATAGATGGCGACATCACCCGCTGCTGGGAGCGGCATTGAGGGCTGCATCAACGACATTTGCTGGGACGATTTGGAACCCCCGGAGAAGCGGCTCAACACCATCACGTACGCCAAAGCTACAGCGACATGCTACATGCGCGTACGGTCAGTATCGCCAATGTGATGGAGGCACGCGTCACACGGTTTTCATATAATTGAACATGCCGCATTCCTTGCTAACACACGCAGGTGCCAACGGCTTAGCTTGCCGGCCGCGACGGTGCTACAGAAGCTCTGTTGTCGGACTCGTACGCAAATGTCATTGCAAAGCTTCGCAGGAATTCATGTGCATTTGGCCCCCAGCGACGATAGCTGTGACACTGTTGGCTACGCGCTGGACAGCCACGGGACGGCAGTGGATCGGAATGAGGTACGAAATGTAGGCGCATTGCGCGTTTAAGGCTCCACAGAGCGGCTTTACCACATAACCGTAAAGGCGGCAAGTAGCGCATTGAGCACTCTTGAGTGCAGGATCTGTTTGTTCAGATCTTGTTGCGCACCTGTACACTTCCGCAGGCCTTGGTCCTTCCCATGGACAGTTCACAGAACGGAGCACAGCCCGTGGTGCAGCCGCCGCAACGAGTGGACATCCTGGTGGAGGGGCCAAGTGGGGCCGTAGCCTCAGGCAGTGTGTCTTATCGTGAGCTCCTACGGATGGCCGCCCTGCAGCGGGATCCGGTTGACGAAATGCATGCGAGCAGCAACAGCGCGGGCGCGACGGTCGAAGTGCAGGTATGTGCAAACATTCTTGATGGTTCTGAGCCCAAAACTGGCTTTGGCAAGGGAACGTATGTGAAGGATCCGGATAAATTGCTCACGGGTAATGTGGGTTTCGAAACGTGTTTCCTGTTTCGGTCAGCTGCAGCCCCCGCGTCTTTGCATTCCTGCTGTGCCAAGTGCATTTCAATGGTCAGCTGGATACCCTTGCGCAAACATGCTTACGTAGGTCCGGGGTGCAGGCGAATACAAGGGCAAAGTCGCATTCGTCACACTGATTGTGATGCGCGTGCGAAAGGACGTGGCCAGATACGATCTGGCGCAGGTGGCTAGCGACGGCTCCGGTGTGGATACCGTCAATAAGAACACGCTGCGCACCAATGCGTGCCTGGCGTATGACGCGACCATGGGGGCTGCACTCGAGGCGACGGGCTGTGGACGTCATAAGCTGCTTGTGGAGGGGCCCTGGGAGTGGTTGTTGAGCTGTTTCGCGTCTTACTTCGGCGTGCGGTCATTCTACTGTATTTTGGCGCATCTACGGTGAGTTTGTCCATGTAGTTGTGCTCGTGGAGCTTGGGCCATGATGGGACATTCTTTGCCATATGTCCTCTCGGCGGAAAAGCCGGCTAATAAATTTCCAGTGAATAAATGCTAAATGGTAGCTTAGCCAGGACGAAAAGATGTGGGAGTACTGGTATTGCGGTATTGCCACGTTATTGGAACCCAATCGCGCCGGCAGGTGGGTCCTCAAGCCCGGTGTGGCGACGATCAGCACAATGTGCCTCGACGTGATTACAGCGGAGCTGCGGCCGCTGCTGGAGCAGTCAACTTTGCGAGGCCTCACCACCCACGAGCTGACGCTGCTGGAGGGTGTCAAAAAAGCCGTGGAGATGCTTCTGGAGGTGGCGCTTGAGAACTACTACTCACTTGGTGATGACCAGCCCCGGGACATACCGACTCCGGAGGCGGCACACGCCGCTGCACCCACATGGAAGCCGACAGTGCTCATGGTAAGCGTCCCAAGAAAAGATTGCGTGCGAAAGCTAAAAGCCGGTCCACCAATTACGAATCGGCGGGCCGTCATGTATGGCCCACTGGGAAGTGTGAGCTTTGAACGTGGCTGTGAACTCTTGTTTGGGCTTAGGGTTTCTCGGATTCCTCGCCACTGTTTGTGGGCGATCTCGGCTTTTTGAGGTTGATCTTCCTCCGGTGGGACTAGGCTATACACGGCTACGCATGATGGTTCTGCTAGCCGCGTTTGGTCTTAATAGTGGCGCCTATCGGTCTGTTGCCATCCTCACCGCGCGATCTACAATGCAGGCGAGCTTCCGCTTGTTCCGAGTTATGAAGGACGTCTTCCTCCCGACGGACCAGGACTGGCTGAACACGCGATTCCGCTTTGCCGCGAAGAAGCGCTGGCACTTTCTGGAATGCAACTGCGGTTACGATCAGATTCGGGACCTTCCACGGGCGCAGCCGCCGCACATGTAGGTTGGCCGGCGCAGGACACGGAAGATAGCAGGCAGGATTTGTCCTTATTTGTTCACATTACCATTTGATGCTTCCCCGTGAATCTTATGAAAAGCCTTCGTCAGTGCAGCATGCATATTTGTTATTCGCGTCGCTGTTCACCTCAATCAGGCGCTCGCCGGGCGACCTCAAGCTGGGCGAGAAGGCAAACACATACGACTCGTACTACAAAATGGCCGAGAAGATGGGCGTGGCAATCCGCAATGACCTCGACTTCGACATGTTCCTTCAGGTGAAACCGGGGTGAGATCTGCATTTTTGGGGCCTGGGCACTTCACTGTGTTGGAAGCGTTCATTATGCATGTGGTGCTGCTACCTTGTGCCGTATGTCCTAGCTGAGTTCTTCGGCTCCCCATGGCCTACAGAATTTGCCAGACCTGCTGCCCAGCTCGTTGAATCTGCCGCGCATAACGGCCGAGGAGTACATGGCGAACTTTGTGGAGATCCTGCGGAACATGCTCGGCAAATGCCCACCGCTTGCACCGTCCATAGCGGCCGTGGACCTGCTGGTTGCGACAGCCAGCTTGCAGCGCTACCTCCAGGTAACCCTGACGCTTCAGTACGCGACCCCAACTCGGGTACAATGTAACGGCTTTCGTTCGTAGCAAGGGTGGCACGTGCCGACATGCAGCGCATAAACTGCTTTTTGCAGCCCATGGCTGTCTCTTGCCTGTCGGGTTGCCTGCCTGTAGTTGCCTTCAGCTTCCCTGGCACTGTCCTTTCTTGAACCCACAGTGCACCCAGATGTACCTGCCGCGGCAGCATCCGGGTCATTTAGACGCCATGGAGCTTTGGCGGCTGCACGTATTGTCGTGGATCGACAGCAGCAGAAAGGCGCTGTGCACGTACTGCAGCAAGCTGGAGGCCGAGGCTAAGCTTACCGCAGCGCATTTGGCGCGCGTGGACGTGGCCAAGATGCCCGGCATGATCGAGGGTATCGAGGGGGCTGTGGCTCCGCTGGTGAGTTGGCCGATTTGGAGGGGAAACGACGGGGTCGCATAATAACGAATTCCTTTGCTCTTCGTATCTACTACCACCACGCGGCCCGCAGTCGTGGAGTTACTGCCAGTTGCGTTATGTAAAGCTATTCGAAAGAAGCAGAACGGTGGGGCCTTCAACCGCGGGGTGCAGCCGAAGCCCAAGCAAAGCTTCGCGATATGTTAAGCGCCTTACGCCCTAACGTTAGTTTGACCACACGTGTGGCTTTTGTTTAACTCCTAGGTGCGCGATATGCTGGACCGCACGTGGGCGGAGCTTACACTGTATGAGCGCGTCATCAAGAACTGGCCGTTGTTCGGACCGCAATTGGAAGCGGCACTGTGCGACGTGCTGCGCACCGTTCAGGGATCGCTCAACCGGATATGCGCCGGTGCAAGCAACGTCACCATGTTGCAGCAGCCGGGTGAGTAGCTCCCGTGTGTAGTGCGTGCTGCCACTGTTAACCATTACATCGATATTGGATAGACCCAACTCAAAGTTGTCTGTGCTAATGTACACGTGATTGGCTTCGCCATACCTCTCTTTCTGTAGGGGGTTCACCACACGTCAACGGTGCTCATCGACGAGCGCCTTCTGGCCCGCACCCCACGAGCTCGCCAGGTGGCCATGCGTACGGAACAAGACACGGCCGAGCCATGTCCGGCATTCCGTACGGCAACGGAAGCCCTGGCATGGGGGGTCGGCAACACCACGGCAGCCCAGGCGCAGCCATGGGGCCACAGCAACAGCACCACCACGGCATCCCGTCAGCTGGCGGCATGCCAGGGGCCCGCAACGCAGTGCTGCTGAAGGAGGCTGTATTACTCAATTCTTTGAAGGTGCGTTAAGCATAAACTTGGTCGTGATATGGGAGGCAGGGAGGCAGCTGCCAAACTTTCTGATGTATGTGCTGTCCTGTATTAATCGCAGGTGTTGATGGTCATGGTGCCCTCGATAGAGGACATCATCTCGAAGTGGTGCGGCGGAAGCGCAGTAGCTCCTCCTGGGCCACCGCAGACCGACAACCACGGTGTCGAGTACAACGACGAGCTGGGGCCGCACATCGGTGCACAATTCGCTCAGGCATGTTTACCTCGTTTCTCTGCACCTTTCCTGTAGAGGGTGCCAAGCAGTGGGCATCTGCCTGCCTAGCTGTGCTTTCCTCCCGAGCTTCATTGCCGAGGAAACCTTTTAGCATAATTCACCGCGTGTCTTCCCTTGCAGGTCGTCAAGGAGCTGCGGACGGACTACGCAGAGGGTGTGGCTTCGTGTGCAACCCGCATGGCGAACCATATCCGCTCAATGCCGGCTACCAACATCAAAGTGGCTCTGAACTTGCCGAAGCCGCCAAGCGATGTCCACGCCGGCTACCAACAGGTTTCGACAATGACACAACAGCGGGAGTTCGTCGAGGCCTTCATGCGCCCCATCTTGGCGGCCTGTGAGGATGCCCTGCAGGTGTGCGTTCGGGGGCGGAGCCTCTCGATGCTGCATGAGCATCCATGCTGGCTCGCCATGTTGCACACGTTCTGCATACTCTGTTGCCTGCATTGGCGCTCTACATATGCCGCCCCTGTAGCGTGAATTGACTTCAAAAGTGTCCCTTTTGCATTTCCGGCAATAACGTGCTGAACAGTTGGGGCCCGAACATTTTGTTCCGCGCGTTTTTCCTCGCGTTTGGACCAGGCTCTTCGGAGTGCACTGGATCCGCGCGTGTTCGTCGCGACGGGTCGTGCGCTCTGGGACTGCATGGGCAAGGACCTCTTCGAGTTCGTGCACTGCCTCCAGGTGCGTGTGCTGTTGTCCGTGGTGCCAGGCGGCATATTGTTGCCTATTTCATAGTAAGATTTAGGGTGACTAATGGCTGGTTGTCGCACACTGTGAGCGCTGGCCCAGGCCGTGCCATGTCTTACTATAACACTCCGATCTCGCTCAATGCAGGAGGGCCATGACAATAAGGGTGCGTGGCGGCTGCGCCAGCACGCAAACATTGCGCTAACGCTTCTGTGCGAGTCCTTCCGCGGGCGGCTGGCGGATTGGATGGAGCACTGCATTGGGGAACGCGACCTGGACCTGCCAATCCACGTCGACAAAGCTCAAAAGCTTTTGGCTCAGAACACCGCAGTTGTGAACATCACGCTCAATCCAATTTGAGCGCTGGAAGATGTGGAAATGAGTGTGGTATGTGCCAAATTGCTGCATTACTAGCGTGTCGACAGTGGCAACAGTAGCCACTCTGGTTATTTGCCAAGTTCGTTATCGTGACACCGTATGAAGAGGTGCATGGTTGACGAAACGCCGCATGCGAGCGACTGTCACTGATTACACTTTTGCGTACAGAGGGGTTTGTTGTATGTTCGTTGCATCCCTTCCGCTTTCGGAAGCAACGTCAAGCAACCAGACAGTTGATACATACCGTGTACCTCTTAGGACTGGATTTCCCACTTCTTTATTCTTTCATCGGTTACGTTCACCCAGCGCCATCATGGTTCAGGTTACGCACAATGGCCATGTTCCTGCAGGCGTAGAGCGTCGCCGTACCGATGCCGAAAGAATCTTCCACAAGTTGCACAAACCTGTCTTTAAAGACTGACTTCTAGCCAAAGCTGTTCGGCCAATCCAAACTTCATTTCCTAAATGGGAGGCCTATAGGCTGAGGTACGACATCAGGTAATCCCTACGCCTGCAAGAACATGGCTCATGTACCGAGGGAAAAAGCTAGTACGCACAAACTGGTATGCAGAGTGAGACTTTGCCACCAGTTTTTTGACCGGCTTAATGAAGCGCTCGATTATGGATGTGTTTTTGTTGGTTGGTTGGCAAATGGTTAAGCGAGGCCTACACATTAAGATTTCAGCATTTTCATGTCGCAGTTCCGCCTTGCCGTTCTTCACTATTCGCTGCAATTGTGCGAGGAGATTGTATGAGTTGACATTGAGTGAAGACCAGGTTCAAGCACAGTTCGAGCGAGTTACACCGCCATGCAGTCACAAGACCCTCACGACATCTACAGACAAAACTGCTCAAGACATATTTTGTGTACCACATCAGCTCAACAGTTTGCCTCACCACTTCTCAATCCCATATCCAAGGCAATACGTATACACACATACTTCCAGGTATGGCCACGAGCTCAAGGCCACAGGCCCTGGAGGAAGCAGGGAGTAGGAATCTCAATTCCCTGGTACGACACGGAGGCCGGGATCTTGCATGGAGGAGCAATCGCCTGGCCTGGCACAACAGCAGCCTTTGAGAAGATGGTGGTGCCCCACGGGTCCGCCAGGTGCTCCTGGAGAGCCGCAATTGGGCCCTGCGAGGCGGTAACATAAAACAGCGTAAGAAACTGAAGCAGGCAAATATGAGACTTAGTACACAGCATATCCGAGGCATTATTTCAGAGCGGCGTCTCCAAGGGAGCCTTACCTTGCCGGTAACTTGGGCAGCCATCACGAAGCCCACAAACGCAAGCTGCGAGGGAAAACATACGAAAGTAATGGATGTGCAATCCCCATTGACCCTTTCGATCGCTGTATGACGACTGCTCAAATCAGGTTTCAAAGCTCACCATAGCAAGGCGGCCGTTCTTGATCTCCTTAACCTTCAGCTCAGCCAGGTCACCAGGAATGAAAGGAGCGAAGACACCGCCCGGGTAGCCCGGCTGCAGCAGAACAAATTCAGGCGTTAGGAGACAGATTTCCAAGGAAAACGGAAGACCGAGTCACATACCTCGTGGGGCGGCAGCTTGTACTGGCTGAAGATGGGATCCTGGTCGACGGAGCCAGGCTTGCGCAGGTCCTGCCAGCGGCGGAGCTCCACCCAGTGCATGCAGAAGAACTCAAACGCCAGCAGACCCAGGGGGCCTAGCGGCGACTCAACCTGGCTACCGGCCGAGTACCAGAACACATCCGGGCGCACAATCTCCTGCATTCGGAAGTTCAGAAGGATAAAGAGCTAATAAGGAAATTTGTCCCATGCTGAGATGAAACGACAGATTTGAGCATGAGTCCAGTTGCGCAGTTGCTTACATAAAAGGGGACTGCGAGGTACACACCTGAACCAGAATACCGGCAACGGCAGCCATGGCCCAGCGGGAGTGCACCAGCTCAGACTCGCGGAACCTGAGTGCAGTGGGTGGAAAGGGAAGGAACTATTTTCCCGGCAAATCCAAGCCACGCGACGTCACGGCAATGTAACGGATCTCTGGAGCATGAGCGAAACTGTAATCAGAGAGCTTGACCCCGCAACATGGTTTGGGCACGCACCCTCCAATCCCTACCCAACTCACCACTTCAGAGAGTCAGGGTTGGCGCCCAGGCCGAGCGGGTCGAAGCTGCAAGAAGGGCCAAGAGATTGTATACCTAATTGTAGAGACGAGGGCTAACGACACTCATCTTAAAGCGCTGTTGCTTACCCGAAGTCACCCGGCAGCTCGCCCTTCAGGTGAGCCGGAGGCGTGCTGCCTGAGGAGTTAAAGCAAAAGCCACAGCAGGCATAAATTAACAATTGCCCCTGAAGAGAGCTGCAAGCAGCACGACCGGGCTGTTGACATCATCTGTCCAAGCTATGACAACGGAGTTTACTGTCATGGCTACTTTAACCAGATGAGAACATGTTGCTGTCTTGCCAGGATGTTGGGCAACAAGCATAGATTACGCGTCGCGTCTGAATCAGCAGACCATACTGAAATCCAAAGAATCTAAGAGGAAATCCATATGTCCTAAGCTGAGGAAATAACAAGATAAAGCGGCGTACATCCATTATCTTACCCGGCAGCCACAGAGGGCGCGAGCTGGCCTTCGCGACCACGCTCCGGCGAGCGACGCCAGACGGGCGCACAGCCACGGCGTTCTTGGCAAGCAGCATCATTTTCAGTGACGTAATTTAGGACCTGAACGAGCCGGGACGCAACTTTTCGGGGACAGGAGAGCTTCTTAATGGTAAAAGATTTTGTACGGAACTTAAGCGGATCGAGATGCTCGTACGAGGCGCATAACAACACCTATGTTTGAGCATGTTCATACTTTAATCATCACGGATGATTGTGTTGATTCGAGGTAGGATAAATTTACAGCCCAGAGGTGAAACTTTACTATGCCCTCACCGTAGTTTCCCTGGCATACTTATATACGATGCGACAATCAACCTATGCTGGAGCTTTTGTATCCATCGAGCTAGTGGTCTTTGGAATGTTGCCTAACATGCTTGTAGGCTGCGTATGATACTATATGCATGTCATGCTGAGTAGCGTGTCGTGTTGTTGTCTTAGGTAGTCGAGCACACTGCCTTGGCGTAGGCCATGGAAACCCGCTGAGGAATACTGCTGGGTAAACTAACTACAATAGCCTATTGGCGTTGTAAGTTGCCCAATGCTTGCTTTACATTTCCGTTGCGGAGCGCATCCAATTTGACTACGCAACCCTTTTTGGGATAGGCATATTGATCAGTGGTCTTGGGCCGGGATAGAGGAACGGTCAAGGCCTCCGCGTGCAATCCTATGTCGCCAGAAAGCCAGAAGCCATACCCTGTGGCAACATGAGATGCTTTTGTACATGTCTGGATCTGTTCCGTGCAAGCCTGGATGTGCCGAAGGAGATAGTGTGTGACGAACAACGGACTAGCAACTTAATAGCTGTACTGCTTATTGTTGAGATGGTCAATGATGCATTGACATAGACGAGGGTGGTTGGGAATGCGTGCAGAATGCATAGTGGAATTTCGATGACGCACGCAAGTCGACCGACCGGCTAGTGCATCATGCCTGGGCAAAGCCCTTTCCGCTCATGCTCTTCGGCACACACTGGCACACACCCCGGTTGTGCCCACACCACCACCTGAACCGTCCTGGCGGCCGCCTTTCGCCGTCATATAAATTGCATCTAAAACTGGAGTAAATGCTCCCCGTGCTTTTCTAATGCTTGGAGCTTGAATGAGCAACACCATTTTTAGGAAAGCTCCTAACAACTTTCGATGCCCGTCCAACATTCGAAAGGTATCATTTGGACCAGCCACCAGTATTACTGTAACACTTCACTGCCAAGGAGGTCGCCGCCGTCTGAAACATAGAATACTATTGCTTGTAATGACTAGATGATGGTCCACAAACCCGATGTGGAACGAAGCGCAGATCCCGCATTTTCGCGTAATAGCTAGGTATTCTAAGTGCATCGTCAAAAGCGTAGCTAGGTGTATGGCGCTTTGGATTGCAATAAGGGATGACGGGTCTCTTCCGGAATGAACGCTGGGCCTGCAAAGGTACGAGGTGTGCAATACGTGTATGCAAGTGATACATGCATCTGGTCTGGTACACTCTGCAGTCTGCGGCTCAAGGACCTGGGCTTGATTCCTGGGTAGAACCCCAACATTGTCGGGAGCATAGGTAATGGTTAGTTACTGAGATGTGGAGTTGAGGTCACAGTTGATGGACCGAGATTCGCACCGCTGGATTGGTGGCGATTGCAGCACCCTCTGCCTCGGCGGATGTTCGGGTGACTGGATGGGGAGGGATTCTAGAAAGCAGGATCAATCGCCGTGGACTCGCAGTTCGTATGGCGTAGTACAGTGTGGTAATGGTGGATGGTGCTGTTAGTTGACAGAAATGACAATGCGTGTGTGTGTTACATGGTTGGGGGTGCGTGACCCCATACCTGTAAAACTACCCATTTGAGCCTAAGGCCCAAGAGCAATACCTAAACGCCTAAAAGGCACGGAGAAAAAGAAACACCGCACTATCAGCCCAGGCTAGCGCTTGAAGGGGGTAACTGAGTTACGTTCCAACATCCTCAGCAGTCGTGCTGGCTCCCATTTCATGGCCTCCAACATGCTCTGTTGATGATCAAATCCCTCTTCCGCACGAATATCGTTATAGGCTGGGGATCCCAATGACACGTTTTTTTTATCCTTCGACTTGGCAATTGCTGCCACAACAGCGGCAAAACCGCTGCTTCCTGGGGACATGGTTCTTGCCCCTTCGTGCTCTGTTTGCCTCCAAAACCCAGCAACATAAATAACAATGTATTTAAGTGGCCCAGAAGGCTCCCACTCTGTAACATTACATTACTATGCATCCGCAGTACATTAACTTTTGCCACGTCCGTACGCTTAGACCAGCGCTACCATGAGAGCTGTTCCATTATGGTTTTTCCAAGCCTGAAACGCTTTGGCTTCGGAGCTACTTTATTTTTCCAGCTACGGAGGTGAACATGAGCACTAGCTGTTGTGGGCCTTTGTGGAAAACACTACTGAACACCTATGCCCAGGTAGCCGTGCCGCTTTCTCCTCAGTCCGGGTGCCAGCATAAAGACAGTCGATATTCCCCCAAGCATTATTCCACTCGCGTGATAATTATACAGATGTAGCAAATGGTCACGGTGTAACCATTGTGTGAGCACTGCCATGGGGCACGCTGTGTCAGAGATATACCGGTCACGTCCTACCGGTTGGGTATGGAAATGGGTGCGCCGGTGTGGCTGTCACGCGCTTCCACAGCTGTAACATGGCCCTTGGGGCATGAGAGCGTCATGGGACAGCTCTTGCAAGCCATCCGACAGCTTCCATTCCGTAACTTTGCAGAGCCTATCATCGCAATGCAGGGCCTGAACAAGAGCACAACAGCACTGAGCAATAAAGTCCTGCGCGTTGTTGCAGGAAATGTATATGAACCACTCGGTGGGGCAAGGGGGCAATAAAAGTGCCAACATGACTATTTAAGTTGCAGGTATGCACATATGATGGGTAACCTATTGTCTTGGTGTCATGGCGTTGGATTCTCCGTACGGATTTCATTTCCTACTGTTTGAGCTGCTGCACAGCCCTTGGTAGATTGCGCACACTCAAGCGCCATGAATACCGGTACCGCATTTCGCATCATGTATCGTTTGTATCGTTACCTAATGGATGTCATCAAGCTGGTCCAGCGTTGACGCGTTTGGTGAATGACATGGAGCCGCTTAGCACCTTCTTCCGGATAAACCCTGCCTTGCTTTTCCAAAACGTAACTACGCCACGATCACAGACTAGCAGCTCAATTTCTTCTCCGAGCTTCGCTGACCACCAGACCGGTCTTAAAGTTTATAGCGAGAGCCCTGCGTCCCTCACAAGTGCTCATCAGGTACTTTCGCAATGCAGAGACTCGGATGGACCTCGCGTTATAACCTGTGCTTGCCGAGTCCCGAACCCTGGCCTGCTTGGCTTGTGGACAGGACAATCCATTGTTCGAAGGGTTTCCTGTCCTTCCGGCCAGCAAACGCAAAGCTGCGGTCTCTGGAGATGCACATGGAACCAAGAACACAGCAGTGCCAGGTCAGGCAAACTTCTGGTCTGGTGCCCTGAACCTACCCAGGCCCTCCGTTCAACAGGATGTCAACTGCATATTTCTTAAATTGGCAGGAGACTCGCCAAAGCTGGAAGAGCAGCTTCATCACCTCCTTGAGGTCCTGCAGCAAGCGTTGGAACTGCACAGCGCTGACGGCCTTCCAGACGACGTAGCGCCAAGGTTGGCGGATGAGCTGCAGGCCGTGGCCAGGAGGCTTAGGGATAAAGAGCGCGTAAGCAACGGTCGGGGCCCTCTTCAGGCTAGGCTAAACCCAGCGAAACGGGGCTCGCCAGAAAGGTGACGCATGCGGCGGCACATGTCCGAATGACTTCCTGTGTTACTGGAAAGCCACATTCTTTGATATGGTGGTAGCCACCTAGGGAACTGCATGTGTTCCCTTCTGATACAGTATGCGTTGACGCGCTGATTTGTCAGTGACGAACAGCTACGGCACGCAGGCGTCCATGCGCCAATTTCCCTCTTGGTCCCGTGCATGCGGATTGTCCTTTTTCGCATTATACCTTTGGACAGGAGCTGCCCGTGGAGCGCCAGCTGCGTGCAAAGGTGCAGCTGGCGCTGACTGGAGCAGAAGCGACCATTCGGAAGCTGCGCGCCACCCCAAGGCGGCGTACTTCAGCGAACGGCTCGGGTGTAGACTGGCGGAGCAACGAGGCGGCATCCAGCCCGACCCTTGCTGCGCACACCAACAGCCGTTTCTCTGCGGGCACAACCCTGGTGGCGGAAGGCAACACCCGAGGCGGAATCGAACGTGATTCGGTCTGCAGACAGCTTTTACAGTCGCCCAGCAGCAGCATGAGCCCGCTCAGTTGGACTGGTCCCAGCTTTGTGACGGGGGGCACGCCCATGTGCGTAGTGGACGACGCGAGCATGGCATCACCCAAGGAGTTGCCCACAGACCAGAACGGTAGCACCTGCAGTCAGCTGGCGTCAGTCGCGGGCAGCAGCCACGGGCAGATAAAGATCCCGACCGGGATTCCCCGACTGCGGCAGCTGACGTCAACGTCGTCGGAGGCAGCCACCTCGTCGAGCTTCCACCCGCCCTTGTACAACTGGATGAAGGCAGTCTTGGCCTCCACGACGAAGCAAAACCAACCGATGCTGCTACATGGCAATGGCAGCGTTGGCAGCGATGCGGGGACGCGCGGTGTGGAAGACGGCTCCGAGGCGCAAAGCCCGGGAATGGGTGGTGCTGTGCATGATAGCCTTGCTTCTGTCGTTCGAGCAGCGCTGTCCAACAAACGAACACCACCCTTAATTTACGGCAGCCCGCTGTACCGGCGGATTCAGCGTTTGTTGGCTGAGCAGCGTTCCCCCATCCCGCTTCGGAATACCTCGGCTCCAGGAGGCGTCATGCAACAGTCCTTGTACAGTGTAGAGCCATCGCCGATCGGCGGGAGACGCCGTGGGTGGGAAACGGGCGCAACCGCACCAGCAAGCTCCAGGCCAGTTTGGGACCAGGAAGTTGACACTGACTCGGCTTCTGCAAGCAACCGCTCCTCGGACACGTCGAGTTCATGCACTACTCCGACCATGACGATGCGGGTATGTTCCAAAATAACCAGCCTGGGTATGAGGGCCTCTCGCTTGATGACTTGGACAACAAACCCTCCTTTGAATCCCCTTGACGAAATTGCGATTGCACGCCTCAGTACGCCGTTAGGAGGATAACCCATTTTCCGTTTCATACCGCTCGATCAGGATGATATTGCGGCGCTGCCCTTCGACAGCAGCGTTTCGCCCTTTGGGCCCACCCTGCGCGAAAGGTATGCAGCCCGAACCAATACCGTAGCATCCGCAACTGCCAGCATACAGTACCCATCAGCAACGGCAGCCTCGGCAGCATTCGATGCGACTGGCCTTAGCGGTGGCTTGCCCCGGCCAGCACGGGAGCCAGAGCGGGAGGCTGCGGAGCTTGTGGCAGAGCTTGGTCTCGATTTGCAGCTTGCCCCTTTTACAGTCGAGAACATCACCAACCTGGAGGTCCTGGCGCATGCGGAACGCTGGATTCGCGGGCAATTCATGTGAGTTCTCTGTGCCAATGACCCCGAGGTTGTGGGGGACCGGAAGGGAGTGAAGGCAAAAATATTGGGCGTTGCAGGGAGGGGAACCTCACATTACACGTTTAGTGGAACGTATGCTTCGCTGCTGCGCATGTGCGGCTTTTTGCTCTTTGTAAGCCCCAAATGCCCCAATACGGGCACACTTGCTTGTTAAGGGGGCTGTGTGTTGTCCGTCCTTGCAGTGCTGCAAATAAGGTGCTGGAAGCCAACAGGGAGCGCACGTTGGAGGATGAACGATGTAGCGGCTCGGCAGGATGCAGTAACGATCTGGATTCGAGCGCACAGGCGCAGGTGGAAATGGTCATACAGACAGAGCCTGCTTACAGGCTCTCGGCTGGGGAGCATGTGCTGCAATGTAGCGCGTCCACGTCGGCGCCGAGCTTTAGCGCTGCCGCTGTCAATCCAACGCCCATATGGCCGCCCAAGCCGAAGGGCAGGGCAGCTCCAGGCGGGGTGCGCGTGCAGGTTGGTACGGGCTATGGCATAGAAGACTGTGGAAGGGCGCTACACCAAGTAACGGATTGAGACAGATGTGTTTATGCAACGATTGCCTGGCTAGGATTGGCTCTCACACTGATTGCGTTCTCGAATTTTTTGTCCGTAGTTTGCGGACATGCCACAGGAGGTGGGCGATTGCTGGGATGGCACCGCAAGGGACGACACAGACGCGGACGTCTGCTCACTGTCACGGAGCGACCAGTCGAAACGTTCGCCGCTCGCATTGAAGCACCAAAGTAATACAATGAAAGATGGGGTTCCCCCACGAAATGACGGCGCTGCTGGGTGCGGCTCGGGAGTGGTGATGTGGCCGAGAAAGCGTCACACAACCTCAGAGTTCGGCGGCGAACCCACTCGTAGGGGGCTCTTTCGATTTGCAAGCGCCAGGGGCGGCACAGCCAAATGCATTCCTGGGAAAGAGGTTGCTAATCCCCTTCGCGCCGCTGAGGGTTGCGGCCGCGGCTCTTCTTTTGGTATGCCGTGTCCTGACATCCCGGAAGGCGCTGCACCAACCCATCCGCGGACGTTGCCGGGCAGTGACGCTGCACGTGTGGGGCCCCCGGGCAGCCTTGCAGCAGAGTTCCCAAGAGCGGTTGGGCGTTCCGCGCACGCGTGGCGATCAGGCACCCAACCATACTCCGCTGACTGCAACTCTTTTGGTGAGGAGCTGGGCCTTCAGGGCGTGTCTGTGCACCTCTGGGGGTTCCATTATGCTTGCGTTGTGTGATGTGGGTAAGGTTACGCTCACACGCCGCGGCCTACTCGCAGGGCCACTCGCGACCCCACGAGATCGCCGAAGTGAAGAGGTGCCACCTGACGTGCTTTTCACGCCCGGAACCTCTTCCGCGGCCGGTAGCAAGGCTGCAGCAAGCAGACATCTATCACGTGCGTTTCCAACAGCCAGCGGCGGCAGAAGCCGTGCAGATGGTCCAGAAATTGCTACACCGTTATCTGACGCACGCAGCGGCGGTAGCAGCATGAGCTTTTCAGGAAACAATCCTTCGGCTGGAGGCACCGTTGTTGGGCCGTCCATGGCGAACGGCCATGTTCCCCCAGCACCAAGAGGTCCACAAGGTTCAGGTAAGGGACGAGAAACATCTTGGCAGAGATTTCCTATCTAGCGATCGGAAAGAACGCCGCACTGCAAGGCAAGGAACCTGGTTGGCAGAGATGTAATTTGAACCGAGGCGTCAATTAAGTTCCTGTCTAGGCATTCTGTCGTCGCTGCTGATGGTGATGCTTTCCCAACCTACTCTGCCGAACAATTGTGGCCATGTCCTGCTCTCGCTACTCCGCCGGGGGCCCCCCATGCGTACAGCAGACAGCTTCACTCCGCGAACGGATGAATCGGCTGAAATAACCGCCGAGGTCATCTTCACGCCGGGGAATGCGCAACTCGGAGCGAAGGGCTACACGGAGAAACGCATGATGGTGCCCTTCCGCCTTGACAGCGCCACCCGATCTGAATGCGAGACGGAGGAGGGTGACGGCAGCGCGAAGACGCTGAGCAGCATCAGTAGCGTCAGCATCATCGGTTCTGAGCCAGCCAACGCGACGGACCTTGGCGCCGACGCTGCTCGGCGGCCGGCACGGCGCTCTGAATCCCAGTCGGCTGGTGGAGGGCTGCAGCAGGCCACGGGCCGGAAAGGAGGCACCTCTAAGCCACAACTATCAAAATACCTTTGCAGCTTCCTCACGACATTATTACCATGCACGAATGGAAGCGTGGCCAGCTAAAGCCGGGATGTGGATTGGTAGCTCAGTATTCGCTGGTGAGGCTGCACAGCATTGACATTTTCGTACAGCTGTGATGGGGAAAATCTAGGGCGACCTGTTGTCGGTGGGTGATCCGCACATGGGTAGCGTTAGGCGGGTGAGCGGGATTAGGCTTGGTTGTGTGCTGGGGTGACTATCCATAGTTGCCTGTCCGGAAGACAGTCATGGGCTGTTTTGGTTGATGATGTGTTGCATGTGTGCAACGACGGCCACTGTCTCCTTTTCCCTGTCTCCCGAGGGTGTATTGGCGATGGCCCGATGTCTCCCCTGCGTTTATGGGGCCCGTGCCGCTGCAAACCTTGCGGTGGCGGCTCAGGATGCACGATGAGGATGCACGACGTTGACCTTTGCGCCGCGAGATACCGGGCCGTGCCATATGACGCTGGGCGCCTGCTTGCGTGCAGCAAACCTACCCTTCCATGGAATCGCATTCAATAGTGTCCATTGGGAAGTCGTGTGTGCGTGCTCGGTATGCCCCTCCTGCTGGTGTCGTGGATCTTAGCGCTTGAGAGCCTACTCGTCCCAGCGGTGAAGGGGTACCGTACCGTTTGCATCACGTGCATTCAGTTACAGTGCAACTTCGCTTGTGTGGAGTGTTACACGTACCTGCGTGTGTGTTTGAGAGTGAGAGGACTGACAGATGCACTGGGGATGGCAGCCCAGGGAAGCGGCCTAAGAGTAGCTTAAGATTGACAGCCAGCGGTGTCACGTGCAACGTCGCCCCGAGCATCTGCTACGATGAGATGAAGGACTCCAAACAAAAGGTTCGTTCACATGACCAAATATCCGGAAAGTCAGCTCAGTCAAAAAAATCACGCTAAGCCTCTATTCCATCAGCCGCTTCGCTTCCCGAAAACTAGAGGTGATGTCACCATACATGCAACCGCTCACTTGACCTACATTGCAACCAACACAATTGCAGTGGCACTCGATTTTTTACACCCTACCCTCCCTCTCTGCATGCCTGTTCACGACACTCCTACAACTGCACTCCACGACCTTTCTTGCGGAAAATCCCGACCATTCGATCATTAGACCCTGAAAGGGTTTTACTTGGTTTTGGACACTGCGAGCTCATGACCGCCGCACCCCTGCCTCGTACAAGTCCCCCCGCACATGGCTCAACCGCCGGCGGAGGCTGGCGATGGTGATGTTGTAGGCCAGGCCGCCTAGCTCGGGCTGCCAGAGGAAGGCACGGTAAACCCTGCACAGGGGAAGCGGGCCACCGGGCGCTGTCTCACTGCAAAATGCGGGGTGGACTGAGGAACCCTAGGCATCCAATTCAGTTGGGGCACGTGTATGTACCGTCCCCAGCCCCGACATGACACGCTGAAACATAACATGCACTGAACCATCCGTGTGTCGTCAAAAGATGCACCTAGATGACTGTCCAGCAGCATTACAACATGATCTTAGGGTGGCTCCCAGAACCTCTCCCAACCCGAAGATGTGTGTACTGCTACTGCACGCGGAGGGGCTGTTTTGCAGCCCCACGGCTTGCAAGATACCAACAGAAATCCAGCGGTGGTGCGGGGATCAGAATCTGGCTTAACACGACCTAACCATCACCATCCGCACACCCGCAGCTGCCCCCGACTCCATTTGTCTTACGCCTCCTACCGTGAGTTTTCCTTGATCATGCGCAGCAAATCTGGTTCAGGCACCGCCCGCAGTATCTCCACCAGGCGCGGCAGCTCGGCCTTGGACACTCGGACAGAGAAGTCGGGGTAATGAAGGATGTCCTCAAAAGGCTGCAGAGGGAAAGTTTGGGGAATAGGAAGGTCCGGTTATGGGAAGCACCGTAGCCCCTTTCGATAATTAGCGGGACCCGAACGTGAACGACGATGACGGGTCGGAACACCCGTGGAGCAATGCATCGGCGGGGCGCCGGCATGGCAGGTCCTCAGCACGTCAGGCTTTTTAAAGCCAGCCGAGTCGCCAAGATGCCGCGGCGCTCTTGCGGAGCGTGTGGCGAACCGGACAGGACAGGCTATTGTGTTCTTCCGAGTGCATCCTGAGATTAATGCATTGGCGGCCCGGCAGGGCTGCTGACTAGGCACCATGGCTGACAGCCCTCGACAGCCGCGTTCCGTTACGGAAAATCCCATGCCGAACAACAAAACCCTGCACAGCAGGCAGCGTTAATGCAGCCTGCACGCTCTCACGGTCCCAGACGGCCTTACGACAGCAAACGAAAGGATTGCGAGAGAACCCTGAACGGAAAGGACGCTGCATTGTCGTCCAGCCGCCTACCATGCAACCCCAGCAGCAGCACGTCTGGAGCACCCTTTGGAGCGCCCATGGCGCGACAGTTCGTTCAGGAAAGTGAAACACCACACACCAATTCGTAGGACACTTCCCGCGCGTCATTTCATCATGCCATACGACCCCTTTGGCCGTGCACGACTTTGCAGCTTCTTCACTCTTTGCAAAAGCTTACACCCTACCGCCGTCATCACCGCACCGGCCGCCATACGCTATCCTCGGGTGTGTGTGGGTACACTGACGCGACCAACCCTTCCCCTCCCCTCACCACGTTAATCCTCTCACCTGCCGAACCTTGTCCTGGATGATGACGGGGATGCACGCGTGCGTTATGGCGTGGATGAGCCGAATGCCCCAGCCGTGGCCGTACGGTGCCAGGCAGAACTTGCTGCGCCTTAACAGGCTTTCGTATTCGCCCATGCCCATCATCATGTAGCCCCCTTTGAACACCACATCCGGGTAGCTGGTGTTGGCCAGCAGCAGAGCCAGCGCCTGACGCACACCGCCGCTGTACTCGGGCTCATTGTGCCTGCCGCGGGAGCAGCGCAAGGAACAGGAGGAAAAGCATTCATGAGCCATCCGCGCGTGTGGTGGTGGTGCTGCTGCTGCTGGGGTGATCACGGTTTTGGTCGTCGCGGCTTGAGACAGCCAGGAAGCCAGCTGAAGGAAGGGCCTGTCAGGGCGAAGGGAAGGTCGAAGTCCCCAGCCAACCTACCAACGCCCTCCCCTCCTCCCCACACACCACCTCCCACAGCGTTGCAAGCGGTCGCAAAAGGAGCCGGCAGGTCCCCATCGCGACTCGAAAACCCGCGGAAGCCCGGCGGCAAGCTGTGCCATGGCGACCGCATTCTCGCCGCCGAACAGCACAAGTGTGTCAGCATTTGAGCATGCGCGGGATGAAGCACGTGCAATCAACAGCAAAGGTACATGCCATCTAAAATTATTACCCATCTCACCTACCCCCCCCAGACCGCACCAGCCATCACATCCCCCTCCCTCCCCCAGCGACCCCGCACCGAATGTCCCCGCTGAAGAACAGCAGCGTATCCTTGCCGGCAAGCAGCGCCTCAGCGCCCCCCGGCTCCTCCAGTTTCGCGCGGACCCCCTGGATCCCCGCCACGTTGCTCTTGACGTACGGTGGCATCACCACATCCCGCCCGGCCTTGAAGCAGCCGTACTCGGTATTGGTCACCAGGGGGCCCATGTCCGTTATGTTGGGCCGCTCGTATCCGAAGTGCGTCACCTGACGGGTTGGAGAGACAGAGGGAAAGGGGGGGAGTGAGGGGGGGACAGCGAGGGGGAGAGGGGGCAGAACGAGGAAGAGAGGGGGGAAAGCGAGGGGCAAAAGGGCGCCTGATAGCAAGCAAAAGCCGTAGACGTGAGAAGAGGGGTTGCCGCAGCTGGTAGGGGTAGGAGATGGACATATTGTAATGGTCGAGGGTGGTGCTAGGCACGGGGGTTGGGTAAAGGGATCGTGGAGCACAATCTTTAACCCTGTCAGACACAGCTACGTCCGGCGCCCGGCGCTTCCAGAACCGGTCCCGTACCGCCCCTCTTCTCTTTTGTGCCTGCCTGCGCGACCTCCCTGTCCGCCTGCTGCTTCGCTCCGTTCCTACCCACCCCGCCCTGGCCCCCCTCCCCCTCGGCCCGCTCAGCCCCGCGGCTTCCAGTCTGCCCTCAACTCCCGAAACACCTGCCATCCGAGCTGCACTTGCTCCCCTCTTCCCTCCCCATTACCCCTAGGAAACGCGCTCACAGAATGCCCCCCGCCCCCCGGCCCCCACCCACCCTGATGAGGTTCTCCGTCTGCGGGAGTGTCTTCAGGTAGCAGGCCCCCCGGTCGCCCGACAGCAACACGAAGTGATCCCTTCCCCCCGTGCGGTTGAAAAAGGGGAAGGTGGCGGCCACCCAGTTCACCGCGCGGACAGCTGCACCCGTGGGGTCGCCTAGGTTGGCTGCGGGGGGTAGGGAGAGGGTGTAGGGAGAGGGGGGTAGGGTGGGAAGCGACTGGGAACGAACGGGGGGAAAAGAGACTCCGGTTTCCGGCCCTCCTACCCTCCCAGCGCCGTGCGGTGACTAGTAACGGCAGTGCACATGCAGTTCGGTTTGGTGCGGTTCGGGTCGACGTGTGAGAATATGAATGGACGAGGTCGGGAGCTAGCTGTTGCCCAGTGGAAACAAGCACACATACAAACAGACATACGCACAGCCAATCACTCAACCGCCGAAGCAGCCGCCCCGGCATCTTGCCACGTACAACCCCCCAACACCCAATCTCCCTCTTCCCCGACCCTCCCCTATGAGGTACGGCATGACGATTGCACCGGTGCCGGAGACCCACACGACGAGTAGTAAGTGAATGCGGGGATGTAGAAGAGGTTCGCCTCGTGGGGGTTCTCCGTGCGGATGCCGCTCACGTCGTTCAGGAAGAGCCCCTGGAAGCGCAGGAAGGACTCGTACTGCGGGTGGATGCCGCCACTGAAAGGAGGGGGGCGAAGTGCGGGGAAAGGGAGGGGAGGGGAGCAGGTGAAGCAGGACGTGCGGGCGGAGAAAGAGAGGCACCACCATCACCACCACCGGCACCATCAGAAACAGCATCAGGTGACACTATGGGAACAAAAGCTGCGCACCAACACCCATACGAGCTTTCGGCCGTTGGCTCCGCCGCCGCAGCAGCAGTAACAACAGCAGCAGTAGCAATAACAGCAGCAGCAGCAGTAACAACAGCAGCAGTAACAACAACAACAACAGCAGCAGCAGCAGCAGCAGTAACAACAACAGCAGCAGCAGCAGCAGGGGACCGGCGGGTCCGCGCCACACAAACCGACCCTCATGCCCAAAGGAAAGCGCAACCAAGTGCCAGCAGGACCCCTATCCCCCGACCCAAGTGGAGCAGACGAATGGCGGCGGAGGGTGTGTATGTATGTATGTATGTATGTATGTATGTATGTATGTATGTATGTATGTATGTATGTATGTATGTATGTATGTATGTGTGGTGGTGGTGGGGCGCGGGACTCACTTGCCGTCCTCGAACTGGTGCGGTCCCACAATATTGGGCGGGATGTCGTACATGTAAATCTTTAGGGACGGGAAGTAGGGGTAGGCGACGCTTCCTGGGGTGTGGGATTGGAGCGAATTGTTGGGTTCGCTGGTTAAGAGCAGCTGGCCGACGGGGCCCATCAAGGGGAGTGGTGGTGGTGTAGTGCTCGGGTAGCTGCCCTCCCCCCCCCCTGGAGGCGGCATCGGCAGCAGCTGGTTCTCGGTGTCCTCTTGCATCGTCGACATCTGACCCCCCATCTGAACCCCCCCGCTACCCCTCGATTCGGTTCAGGTCAGGTAACGTCTAATGCATGCATACATACCCCCCGCAGGTTCCGGGATCGAGACCTGCCAGGGTCGAAAAATCCTTCCGATGGTGGAAGGTAAAGTGGCCCTAGTCGATGGACGGTGGATAAAGCAGACCTGCGAGCTGACCAGGAAAGGAGTTGAGCCGCCGATGATCGGGCAGATTCCGTTGGATGCTGGTGGTGGGTGCGGAACCTGAGCGATCCACTGAGAAGTTGACTAGGGTGACTGGATGAGGGTGCCCCGAAATACCGGGGAAGGCAGGGTTTCGCAGGGTAGCGGCCACGGGGTGAAGATATGACCCCCCTGTCCCACACATCATACATACATACATATTTACATAATACGTACATACGTGTAAAAACATCCAGACAAATACACACACACGCACACGTACGGACACCCACCTGGTACAGGTTCATACGCCGTACTGCGCGAGCAGCCTATCCCCCAGTACGGCGGCTCGCACTTGCAGAAGCCCGCCACACACTTGCCCCTGCCTCCGCAGCCGTTGGGGCAAGCAGGCTCCGCCCCTTCTTCCACCAGCTGGGAGCAGTCCGGGCGCCGAAACCCCGCGAAGCAGAGGCATATGGTTTGCTGCCCCCAGTCCTGACACACACCCCGCTCAGAACATCTGGAGAGTGTGCGTGTGTGTGTAGGGGGGGGGGGAAAGGGGGGGGAGGGGGTTCGGGGAGGGGATGCAGAATCAGGATATAGGTAGGGGTAGGGGTATGGCGTTCCGCCTGTAACGCCTACTCACAGCAAGTTATGCAATGCAAGGAGGTGAGAGGCGGCGCAGAATCAGTCGTGTAGGGTAACAGTGGTGACAGTGGTAACAGTGGTGACAGTGGTAACAGTGGTGACAGTGGTGTTAGGGTACAGTCGCTAGGGTGCAGATTAACCACCATCCCCGAAGGGAGTCCACCAGGTCACGACGGTGGGGTCTCTAAGGAAAGCGGAGGAAAGGGAGGGAGCTGGATCCCGGAGAAGCGGGGGAGTCAAATACGGGCGTCATATGGGCGTCGAGGTGGAGAGGGAAGGGGGGAGTGGCGGGGGGTTGGCCCATGCGGTCCTGAGAGAGTACGGAGATACATACGTACATACACAAGGACGCACGGCCAAGGCCCCACCTGCAGCACCACCACCATCAAACATATGTACCATACCCTGCCGTACCTCCGTTCACATCTGGACAGCGGGACGGTTCTGGAGGTGTCCTCCACCGACGGCGGCTGGCTCAGCATCTGTATCTCCCGCCGCAGCTTAGGGACCCCGTCCACCACTTCCCTTACTGTCGTACCCTTACCCCAGCGGTACGACGGATCGTCCATTTTTTCCGGAAGTTCCGAAATCTGTTGGTCCTCCGGAACCCCAACTTTTTCGAAGCAGAAAAGTGCGTCCCACAGCTGCATGGTGTGGGTGGCGCACCGCGTCTCCTCCTCCGGGAGGCACATGGCTTTCATGACCTCTCTATAGCAGTAGCAGTTGCGCGGCGCCATGCGGCCCAGGAAGATCCGCTGGGTGGTGGGAGTAGTGCGGCAGGCGGGGTAGAGCTGCGTTTGACAGGTGGGACCTGGGGAGAAGGAGGGGAAGGCAAGAGGAGACGCAGCATCCTGAACTGAAGTGGCGAACACGGCGGGAGAGAAGAATTAAGAGGTATGATGGCCGTGGTCATTTACTTTGTTTTACCGTATAAAAGCCTGAGCTAGAAGCACAGGTTGTGGGCGCGGGCTGGAAATTAGGATATGGGGAGTGCGATGCGCACTCAGGGCGCAGCTGATACAGGAATGCTTTCCAGGGACGGGCCGTTGGGTAACCAGCCGGCCGGTTGCTCTTGTACCTGACAAACCAAACGGGCATTCGCATTCCCCAAGCTCCCTATTGCAGTTGCCATGTTCCAAGCAGCCGTCCTGGCAGGGCTTGTTGACCTCCTGGAGGTTCAAAGCAATCAATGCCAGAGTGGTCCAAGGTGTTAATGTCACGATAGCTTATGAAAGTGGAAGAACGTCGGCTCCAAAGTCACCTGGAATTGATTGAAGGGTTGATCCGTGAGTGCTGTCTTAAGCACTGTCTCTGCGGGTTGCACCCGCCTGACGAAGTGCAGTAAAAGGATCGTCAGGAGAGGCACTAGAGCCAAACGTTGCAACATTTACTACTATTTTGGTAAAATAAGACACTGGAGCAACCGAAGAAGGCCACCAAACAGTTTCAATGTACTAACCAATACGGGATGGAAAAAACAACACCCGCAGACCCGCTACGATACCAGCATCTGCAAACATCATCACTATACACCATGATTAAATAGCTACAAGGCATGTAATTTTCAATGGCTTCGTAATGTTGGGTTCCTTAACCGTATATCCACATTAATAACCCAAGCTTGCGACTTGTAGTTTGTTGTTCATGGTTATTTGCGTTGGCCAAAAGGCCACTAGTCAACGAAGAAATGGAGACCTAGAAGGCTTGGAAGACAGGTGTTCGCATGACAAGCGGAGAGCCTGAGGTGCGTACGTAGCACAGAGCTTGCAGCTTAAGGCAGCTATTAGCTATTTGTACCCTAATAAAATGCTCCCTGCGTGGCTGCTGCCGCTGTGGTTCTTCAGGCTTTCGGCTTCGTGCCTGCGCACGTCGTTGCTGACCTTCAAGACATCGGCAATTGGAAGGTTCGTATTATTGTCTTTACGCCTGCCAAGTCGGCGCAGGCGGTTTTAGGGCGCGGCCCTTGTGTGGGGACACTCTTCACGCAGAACGTTAGCATACGAGCTTACACGACCCTGTCTGCACCGTGTTTCCTTCCTCCATGCAGTCACGGGCGACAGCCATCGATGTGCTCCACAAATGCCTCAACGGCGTATCTAGCCCCTCTACCCTGGTGCCGGCACTCGCCGACTTCGTTAACTTCTTGGCGGGGCTCATCGCCGACCCAAATTTTAAGATTGCCATATCATCCATGTCAATTCTTGGGGACTTGGCGGCGAGGGTTGGCAGCGAGCTGGGGCCCTACCTCAGGTATGACGCCGGATAGACCCCAACCCGGATGCCGGTTGGCAGGCGGCTGCCGGAAGCCGCGCGCAGCCTTGTAACTAGCACTTCGATCTGGAACAAGGGAACTGTGTTTGAGCGGCTGATGCTGGGTTTTGAAACCTGTCGTGCCCGGGGTCCAAACCCCGGGATTCCTCGCAGCACTTCCTCTCCCCTCCTCCCCGTTATCCCCATCATCTGGCTAAGCCTCTTCCTGGCTGGCTGGCTGGCCCCGATTCCCCTTACGCCAGAGTTAAGACACACACATCCTACCTCCACCCGTTGAACGACCAAAGCGCATACACATGCAACATCCCCACTGCCTTGGCCACACAGACTGCACTGCCCCACCCAATACTGTGCTGAAGAAGCCTCAACCTCATGACACCACACGCACTGCTATGCTACCCTGCTGCACAGGGTGGTGGCCCCGGCGCTCCTGGAGAAGTTCGCGGACAGCAAGATCCTGGTCCGTAGCGCGACCATGAAGCTTGTGCGGCGGCTGATGAACGCCTGCACTCCGGGCGCGGTTCTGGCGGTGCTGGGGCCCGCCATCTCAAACAGCAACTGGCGTGTGCGGGAGGAGGTGCTCAATACGTTCATCATGGTGCGCAGCAGCGTTATCGCTACGGGGCACGGGGCAGTGCAGGGGGGGTTAGTAGTAGGGGGTTGCAGTGCAAGGGGGGGGTTCTGTCGAGGTGGCAAGTGCGGGCAAGTGGGTGAGCGGGCGGGAGGGGAAAAGTGTATGTGTGTGGAGGGAACGGGGGGGGGATTGGGCTCCAACGACCGAGGGCCACCCGGTGGGGGCCCTGAGCTCCTTGCTGGTCAGAGCTCCGTCCCACCGCCCACGGGCCTCCACTCCCACACACCCATCAGACCGGCAGCACTTCCGGCCCCTCGTCAGGGCTTCCTGACTTTTTTTCTTCCACAGGCCCAACCCCGAACCTAGGTCGCACACTACAGCGCACCACACATACCCCCACTTGCTGCTGCCGATGATGATGATGATGATGATGATGGTGATGCTACCGCTACTGCCGCTGCCCTGTTCGCAGGCGCTTCTTAGTTTCGGTCCTGGTTCCTACGACCCGGTGGTGGCGTACCAGGTGCTGTCGGCGGGCTTGTCTGACGGTAAGGACAAGGTGCGGCTTGTGGCGCTGGAGGGCATGGCGGTGCTGCACAGCCGCGTGAGCAGCGGTGAGCTGGAGGCGCTCATGGCGGGGCAGCGGCCGGGGGGAGGGGGCCCGCTGCCTGAGGCGCTGCGGGCGCAGGTGGCGGCGCGGCTGGAGAACCCCGCGCTGCCGGGTATCAATGCTGACGGGCTGGTGGAGCATGTGGTGGAGATGCCAAGTGCGGATAATCCGGATATGCGCCTGGCGGATGCGGTGTTTGGTGGCGGGGCAGGAGGTAGGGTCGGCGGAGAACAGGGAGGGAGAGCGAGGTAGGGTGGGGGGGACAGGATTTCCGAATGTCAGGGTTGGGTCGGGCGGGGTGCTTCTACCCGCCATAACGCTCTGCCACGTAGTGCCTGCCTCAGCGGCGGCTAGCAGCTAGTCGGGAGGGGGTGTAACAGGTTCTATAGCCCCACTGGTTCTATAGCCCCTAGTTTCGGTATGCGGCGGCGGCCTGTCCGGTTCCCTCTTTCCCACCGGCAATGCAGGGCCCGCGGCCCCCTCTCACGGCCCCCCCCCCGCGGCGATCCTTGGCCAGCCACAACCATGTCCTTCTCCCCCCTCCCTACTGTATCCCTAGGGCCTAGGGGCCATCTGGGGGGGTGCTGACTCATCTTGAGATCCCGTCTCCCGCAACCCCTTCCTAAACCCTGATTGGTGGGCCCCACACATCACTTTCACCTCGTTGTTGTTGGTAGTAGTGGTGGTGGTGGTGGTGTTTTCTGGGCCTCTGCCTTGCCGTCCTGAATCCCTGTTTCCCCGCTGTCGTGGCAATTGTGTGTTCGGGCGCTATGGCCCCAGCCGCCAAGGCGCCGTGGACAGAGGCCACCAACACCCCGGCCAGGCCGCGGCTGCGTCCGGCAGCGACCATGGACCCCCCGGGTGCCGGGCCGGGGTCGTCGGCTCTGGGCACCCGGCCGCCCAGCTTGGAGCAGGTGGGCCGGCTGGGGTCGGACCCCCTCCCTGGTGGCCGCCGCGACGGGGTGCCGCTGCTGGACACTGGCCTTGGGAGAGGGGGCCAACTGGCGCTGCCGGATGAGCCGGGGGTCATCAGTCCGGCCTTCCGGGCGGCGGGAGGAGGGGGAGGAGGAGGGGGAGGAGGAGCTGTGCCGCCGTTTGTGCACGCGCACACGATCAGCAGGTGGGTTGAGGGGGGAGGGGGAGGGGGGCAGGGGGCTGCGCAGGTGCAGGGGCACAACAGGGATGCGGCGCGGAGGAGGGGCGGGGATCGCATGGACACCGGTATGGGGTTTAGGGTTGAAAACAAGATCCTATCCAGCAACGCAAGCAGCTGGTTCTGGGCCATGAACCCCCCTCTTTCATGCACCTTGCACCCCTGCAGACCTTTCCTCCGCTTTCCCTCCCCCTCCCACTCCGCCCTCATTCCCTGCCATGCAGCAGTCCCATGTCTTCCTCCACTGCAGCACCGCCCACTGCGGCACGCTGATGCCGCCAACTCCCGCCAACTCCCTCTTCCCTGCCTCCTGCTCGCCCGCCGCAGGTTCGGTTCCCAGGATCCTCTGGGGGGCGGTGCACCCATCACCGCGGCCCCCGTGCTGGGCCCCAACGGCTGGGGCCCTCAGCCCCCTCATCCCCCGCACTCCCACCCGCCCAGCCAGGGCCACCCCGGTCGCCCCCATCTGGATGAGCGGGCGGCCTCACCCTTCCGGGAGTCCTCCGGGGCAGTGGCGGGAACTGGCAGCTCGGACAGCCTGCAGGAGCTGCGGGGTGGCGGAGGTGGAGCCGGGGGAGGGGGCCCGCATGGACACATTGCGCACGGACACGGCCATGCGAGTGCGCTGCAGCCGCTGAAGCACCACTGGGGGGGTGAGCCCTTGGGGGTGCTTGCGTGAGGCAGGGAAAGGGAAGAGGGAGAGGTGGGGGAATACAGAAGGAGGAGGAGGAGAAAGGAAGGAGAAGAAGACGAGGCCATGGGGATGGCACTTGGCTCTCGAGTGCTGGGAGCGTAGAGGAATGGGAGGTGGAGAGCACGTCAAACATTTGCTGGGTGTCACTGGCGTTACCGGGTCGGCATTGTCCGAGGCCGCCGCTATTTCGCATGAACCGGCGGGGCTTCCTAAAGCCTGCGGTACTGCAACTAACCCCTTACCCCCTGTCCCCCTACGACCCAAGTCACTACTGGTCAGCTGTTATTAGTAAAATATTCCTGATGCAACATCTCTCTAATCCTGCGTGGAGTATCTCTTTATACCTGGTATCTGCTACAATCGTCGGTGGTGGTGCGCTTTACCCCCTGTCCCCCTGGTGTCTGTCCGTCTGTATGTACGTGTGTGTAAATATGTCCCATGTCCGTACAGCCTCACGGTCCATGGAGAGTCACGGGCTGGTGGCTGGAAAGAGCCCCGTAGACAGCCTGGAGGACAGCCCCCTGTCCCCTTCCAAGGGGGGCTACACAGTGATCCTGCATGGCAGACACAGCGGCCCGGCAGGTGGGGATTGGGGTGGGGGGGACGTGTATGTATGTATGTATGTGTATGTATGTATGTTCCCCTCTTCCTTTTCCCAAATTCCCCTTCCCCTTCCCCTCTTGACTCGCTCGTGGTTCGTCTTTCCCCTCTTCCCCCCTGGATCCCCCCTGCCCCCTGCCGTCCACTACCAGTCACCGGGGACGGCTGCCAGCGGGATAGCTTGGACCTGCTGACCCGACCCGCCAGCGTTCGCACCCAGGCGGCTGCGGAGCTGCGGGAGGGGGCCCGGGGACAGCCCCTGCACGCGCACACGCACACGCAGGCGCAGCAGCCGCACCCGCCCTCGCACCCGCACCCCCAGTCGCAATCGCAGCAATCGCAGCAGTCGATGGTGTGGTTGCAGAGCAGCTTGGAGCCGGAGTCTGCAGGTAGCATGAGGAAGGAGTTGGTTCGTTGGTTGGTTGGTTGGTTGCTAGCTACACTGGTTGGTGTTGGTTGTTTAGGGAGGGGGTGGCCGGCCGGTGCTGGGGTTGAACGGGGCGGTCTTGGGGAGATGGGTAACTGGGTTACAACGCGTGCGTGTGTTTGCTGCGGGTGGCAGCAGTTTGACTATGTGCGGTGCATATGGGGAGGGGGGACGTGTCAATCCCGGAAGGGTGAATCTGGGGGGGAGGGGAGGAGGAGATCGTATGTGGCAACTGGGAAACACAGCCAAGCTGGTTAGAGGGCCCTCGGCACAGAAATTGCAGACGTTACCGCACATTCGTCGCCAAGCCCTGCAACCCCACCACAGCCGCCGAGGCCGAAGCCACCGTCGCCAGAGCCTTCACCACCTAGCCCACAGCCTTCACCGCCCCTGCAGTCGCACACATGCGGCATCCACACATTTGTGGTTCGTCTCCCACCACGCCCTGGCAGCAGCTTCACTCGTTCGTGGTTCGTCTCCCCCCCCCCCCGCCGCCGAGCCCCGCTGCGCCCTCTCATTCTGCCCCCCCCGGGGCCCCCGCCTGGGCCCCTGTGTGCTGCGGCCCTTACCTCTCCAGGTACCCGTCAGGAGACGTTCAGTCCCAGCAAGGCCGAGATGTTGGCGCGGCTCAAGAACCGGCAGATTGAGAAGCGGGCGGCCACCGCGCAACAGTCGGTGAGACTGCATGAAGGAGTGGATAAAGGAATGGAAAAAGCTGCCGGGGGTGGCCCTGTTGCCGGCAGCTCACTCTCGCCGCTGAGGACGGGGGACGGGGGAGGGTCTGGGGCAGGGCGGAGGAGGAGGGGCCAGCCAGTCGCGGAGGCGGGAGGGAGGCTAACGTGGCAGCCAACGCATCTGTAGTCGCTATCATAGGTGCTTGCCCACACCATGCTCCGCACACATACATACATACTTACATACTTGCACATCCCCCAAAGACCAGAGGGCCAAAAGCCGCACCGGGCAATAGCGCTCCGGGGCTCGGGGGGCACACTGGATTGAGGGCCCGGGCTGTGGGTGGTGCCGACCAGGCTCTTGTACGACAGCGGCTCACGTCGTGCAAGCGGCTTACCCCCATCCCCACTAGCTCTAGCGACACCTCCCACCATGCCCCACCCAACCACCCTCCCACCACCTCCCTCCCACCGACGCTTCCCACTGCAACCCGCAGGACGCCTCCTCCTCCAGCACCACCTCAGTCGCCGCAGCGGCAGCAGCAGAGGCCGCCGCCGCCGCCCTCGCCGTCGCGATGGGGACCGCTCCAAGCCCATCATCCTCCCACAGCGTCAACAACCCGCAACCGGCCCCGCGACGCCACCTTTTCGCCCAGACCTCCGACCCGCAGCGCACGGGCGACAGGAGTTACCCCCGAGGCGCAGATGCTGCCTCCGCCTCGTCTTCCTCCCGCGGCTACGACAGCGCCGCCAGCACCCCCACTCGGGCGATGGCCCCGTCGGGCAGCCCCTTTGACGACGGACCCTCTTCGGCTCAGAGCCACCGACCGCCCCGGGCCGGGGCCGGGGCCCTGGCGGCGCGGCTTGGCAGGGGGTCAGCGGCGGCGGCGGCGGCGGCGGCTGGGATGGACTCGGCAGGTGGAGGCGGTGGCGGGAATGGTGGCGGCGGTGGTAGCTTTGGTGGCGTACATCCGTTCATCCGCTCGCCGACCATACCAGGTAAGCAAAGGCGCGTTGGGCGTTTTGGCAGACTGGCGGCTACCTGAGCTGAGCTCCGTGGTTCGGGGGGTGGGCGGCTGCTGGTTGTTGGGGATATGGGGGGAGGGGGACGGGTGGAGTAAGACTGGCGTATGAAGCGGTTACCTTGAGAGACGGGTAGTCTAGGAGGGGATATGGGAAGGGGGTGAGGGGGAAGGGGGGGTTGGGGGTTTTGAGGGAAACACTGGTAGGTACCTGCGAGAGGTGGAAGGGCTCAGGTGTGTGTATGTATGTATGTATGTATGTATGTATGTATGTATGTATGTATGTATGTATGTATGTATGTATGGGGGGAGGAGATGTAAGATGGGTGTGGGTGTGAGGATTGAGCACACGCAAAATGGTGAAGGAAAAGGGCGGCCGTGGCGGCAGGGGGGAATTGTGAGCGGGGAGGGGGAGGACAAGCAGCACAATGATGACGGGGGGAATGTCTGCCGCAGCCGTAATGCTGCCCCAGCTCTCTTCCCACTTTTCTCTCTCTCTCTCTCTCTCGTCCTCCTCTTGCCGTTTTTTTCTCTCGCTTGTGAAAGGAAAGCCCCGTGCCTTCCCCCACTTTCCTCTCAGTTCTGCTCCTTGGCAGCAGCTTCACTCGTTCGTGGTTCGTCTTCCCCGCACCTCCCTCTCCCACTTCCCCCCTCCACCTTTTCCTTCTCCATCTTCCCCACAGGGCGCCCGTATTGTTGCAAATCAACCCTCAACCCCTCTTGTGCGCCTGTCCCTACGTCTTCCCCCCTCCCCCCCCCGCCAAAACACACACGTACACAGGATCCTACGCCATGCCGTCCTCCCTCCCCCCGGGCGAGGAGTCCCCGGCCAGGAACCCCTCACCCTCACCCTCACCTTCACCCGCACTGAACCGGCTGAGGGTGCGGTCCGCCGACCCTACCCCCCCCCTACCGGGATCATCCGGTGCCGCGCTGGGCCCCGCCACCCCCACTGGCAACGGTGGGGGGGGGCCCGCCGCTGCTGCGGCCGCCGGGCCCTTCTGGGAGAAGCCGCGGGGGGGTGTGGACGTGAGCACGGAGGAGCTGACACCGCTGGCGGAGCCGGAGAAGCACATCAGGTGGGGCTTTTTAGGGGGGTTAGGGCTTCCCTTATGAGGGGGAAAGGGGGAGGGGGCGGAACCGCGGTGTGCTCGCCCTCTCTCCCCCTCACACCCCTCACACACACACTATCACAGGTGAACACCTCTCCCCCTTTCTCCCCCCTCCCTACTCACCCAGTCAACTCCCCAGTGACAGACCCTCGACTGGGTGTAAACCGAGGGAGTTGGAGGGGCCTTCTCTCCCCCTCCGCCCCCCTCCGCAGCACTCTTTCCTTGGCAGCAGCTTCACTCGCTCAAGTGGTTCGTCTTTTCCCCCGTCCCCCTCTCTAGGCGGGAGGAGAAGAGTGAACATCGCTCTCTCGTCGAACTTCAGAGTGAATGCGGCCTCGTGGGCCTCCTGATAGACTGTGCTCTGTGTGCTCTGCTCTGTTACCCGCCCCGGGGCCCCCCCTCCAAACACACACATACATACATACAGAGTTGTGATCTCCCGGCTGGTGGAGGCCAACCACTCGGACCGCAAGGCGCTGGACTGGCAGGGGCAGTACGAGGCGCTTGTGGACGCCCGGCGGCTTGTACGGCATCACCCCGAGGTAGTGCGGGGCTGTCTGCACGAGTTCGTGCGGGCGGCCACCCCCGCCATCGACCAACTGCGGAGTCAGACGGCCAAGTGCGCTCTCGCGCTGTTCCAGGTGGGCGCGCAAGTGTATGTATGTATGTATGTACGTGTGCGTATAAGTACGTATGTGCGTGTGTGTTACTTGGATGATTCGAGCTGCGAGCTGCGAAGAAGAAATTCTATGCGAAAGCGGGGGAAGCGTGTGTCTGTGTGTGTATGAGGGTGTTGGGTTTGCAAGAAGAGGACCGCCTCAAGTTCAGGCCCGCCACTGAGCTCTGTTGTACTGGCTACGGGGGCAGGAGGGGCCCGTCGTAGGTGTACCTGGGGCACCCCGAAATGGGGGGGGGGAGAGCTTAGTTAGTTGGGGTTAGTTACCTCTTGCTCAGCTTGAGGAGGAGAGAGAGGGGAGAAGGGGGATATTCTTTACCTGAATGATGGATAGGTACTCTTAACGCACTCAAGTCTCCACTGCACACACAGACGAACACAGATAAACACAAACACAAGCACATACCCCCGCGCTGTTGACTCGTCCTCTCCCGTTCTCGTTCCCCTCCAGGAGTGCTTTACCCTCCTGGGTCGCGCCATGGATCGGGAGCTGGACGAGCTGGTGCCCGTGATGCTCAAGAAGGCAGGGGAGGTCTCCAACGCGGGCCGCGACAACTTCCTCGCGGCGGAGGCCGACCGCACGCTGGGGGAGATGTCCCGCTGCTGCGGGGAGTCGCGCTGCGTCACCGCGCTGCTTAGCTGTGCCGGACACAAGAACCCGTACGTGCGCGGCAAGGTGGCCTTCCACCTGGATAACCTCCTGGAGGCGTGTGCTGGCGGCGGCGGTGGCCGCCAGGCGCTGTCCGGCAACACGGCCTGCCTGGAGCGGTTGTTCCGCACAGCTGCGGGGTTCTTGGAGGAGGGTTCCCTGGACACCCGCACCCACGGCAAGCGGGTGATCTGGCATGTGAAGTCCATGTTGGCGAGCCGGGGGGAGTTTGACCGGCTTGTGGCGGGGGTGACGCCGCCGGGGCTGCAGCGCAAGGTGGTGGAAGTGGTGGAGGGGTTGAATGGCCCGCCGCCGCCGCCATCTCGCGGCGTGGTCGCTGGCGGCGCCGGTGGCGGTGGAGGTGGCAGCTGGCTGGCGTCGCGGCAGGGCGCTGCTGGCGGCAGCGCTGGCGGCATGATGATGATGATGATGGGGGTTGGCGGTGGCGGGATTGCTAGTCCTGCGCGGCCGTTGTTGGAGCAGGTAGCGGGCAGCTTGACGCAGCCGCCGCCGCCAGTACGGCAGGGCAGCTACTCGGCGCCGTCGCCGATGCACTCGGGCGGCGTGACGCCGGAGCGGCGGCGGCTGCCACGTCAGCGCACCACAGACCTGGACGGCATTCCGGAGACCAGCGGCGGCAACAACAGCCGCAACAACAGCTCCAACGGCAGGTCGGGGCGCCTGAGCGCCGGCGCCGCCGCCGTTGGCCCTGGTGGGCCCGGCGCCGTTGGCTCCGCCGCCGGCCGCCTGCGCAGCACCGCCAGCGTAGACGGCTCCGGTTCCTTTGGCTTTGGCCCCGGTGTTTCCGAAGTGGTTGTGAAGTCGCTTCAGATGTTGGGCGCCAAGGACTTCCGGGAGCGCATGGACGCGCTGCGGGCGGTGGAGGGCGTGGCGGCGGCGCTGCCGGGCGCACCCGACACCCTGCTGATGCAGCTCCTCGACGCTGTCGTGGCTCGGCTGGGCGACGCCAACGCCAAGGTCTCCACTCTGGCCCTGGAGCTGGTCGCCGGGCTCTCCGCTACGTTGCGGCAGCGGATGGCCCTGGGGCTCAACACCCTGGTCCCGGCGCTGGCCGCAGCCCTGGGCTCCGCCAATGATAAGGTCCGGTCGGTGGCGGGCATCGCCACGGAGGCCCTCGTGGGGGCCCTGGACCCGGGAATGCTGGTCCAGCACTTCAGCCATTGCGTGGCCAACGGCACGTTGCAGCGCGGCAAGCCGTTGCTGGCAGAGAAGCTGGTGCAAATCGTGGGGGCGCTGTATGTGAGTAAGCCGCAGCTGGTGGCGAGGTACGCGGTGCCGGCGGCGTTTGCGTTGCTGAACGACGGTCGTGGCGGGCCGGAGGCCAAGGCGGCGGCGGGTGTGTTGCTGGCGGGTCTGGCGAGGCTGATGGGACCGGCGTTGCTGGAGCAGGCGTCGTCGTTGAGTGCGGTGGCGCAGCAGCGAGTGGCGGATGCGGTGGCGGCGACGGTGGGGTCAGGAGGGGGGGGTCCACCCTCTCTGGAACCCGTGGGGAGCAGAGGAGGAGGAGGAGGAGGAGGAGGCAGTGGCAGGGAGAGGGAGCGCACGCCGAGGATGATGCGGACGGTGGCGTGAGAGAGCGGGGCTGTGTCTGGCCGCGGCGAGGAGGGGAGAAGAAAAATGGGAAAAGAAGGGAGGGTGCGAGATGCGGTTCCCGGGGATGGGGGGGGTTTAGGAGTTGTTTGTTGTTTGTAGGGAAGGGTGAGGTGGGTTGCGCACTGTGAACCGAACAGCTGGCGAATGTGTGCACATGTGTACATCTCCACACATTGGTGCGAGGTATGACCCCGGTGTTGATGGAGACCCCTACGGCGGCTGGGGGGGGGCCTGTAGCACGTTGCGGTCCCTCGGGCTATGGGGGGGGCCGCATGCCGATGGAATGGGGGTTTGGCGGGGTTTGGACGACATGAGTGGTAGGGAAGGGGGAAAGGCGCGGGAAAGGAGGGTGGTCAGCGTGCCCGCTGTCAGTCCCTTGGAGAGGGGAGTTGGGGGTAGGAGACGGGGAAAGACGCGATGCGACTGAAATGTGAGCGAAACTGCAAAAAATAGCTGCTGAAATATTTTTTCAGGAAGTTTTTGTGTATTGCGAAGTTGGAGAGCTCTTGTTGTGGACAAGGGCACATGTTTTGAAGTTAGGGAGGGGGAGAGAGGGGAGAGGAGGTCTTCGAGTGCGGGGTGAGCGGGATGTGTGTAGTGGTCTGATGGTGCCATTTGGCATCCCCCTGTGCCGCTGTGTGCATGTATGTATGTATGTGTGCATGTATGTATGTATGTGCGCGTGGATTCGTTATTTTCCCATATATATAGCCCCATTCCCGTGTGCGGGCAATTGCCGGGACAGGTTGGGTCGGGCCTTTGGAGTTCCTCGTGTCGTGCTGTCGTACTGATGACGTGTACGGAAGGCGCGGGAGAAGAGACTGACAGGCTGCGGCGGCCCCCTTTCCTTTGGATATGATACTGATGATGATCTACCGCCGGAAGGCGGAAAGATCCGAGGGGATGGGGCAGGAGGACGCAGTAGCTGTGTCTGCGTGCCTCCGTAGATATGTCGTACAACACACGCCCACTGTACAGCCTACCGTACAATTTAGGGTCTGCGCTGGACGTGTGGAAAATAAATAGAAAGCGCCGTGTGCCTTTTCCTGCTTTGGCTTTTGCGAAGACAGACACTAGTTGACAGTCATATCTCGTATATAGCAACGTTTCACGTCACTCTCATGCTTGGTAGTTGCGAACTACTATTGCACTTGGCACAGGGCAACGGGAGCGCTTGGTGGTCATTGCGATGGTGGGATTGCTGGGGCTGCTGAAGGGTTTTGCTGCTGGTGCGGGTCGGCGGGGACAGCGGCATTGGCGGTGTGGGGTCGGCGGCGGTGAGGTGTCCTTGAAGGGTAGACACGCCCTTGCAACGTGGCGGTGCGGAACGAGTAGGAGGGAGGAGGAGGAGGAGGGGGAGGGGGAGGGGGAAGGGGGGGAGCCCCTCGTTGCCGGGTAACGAGGGCACAGATGCGACCACATCAGGATGATGGAGGTGTGGAGATCAGAGGGGGGGGAGGAGGACGAGGTGACTAAGGGCATCGCGAGCCGGGGGGGCAATATTTTGCAAGTACGGCATCGTACGAGAGTCATTTGAGAGTCTCTTAGTGCTGTGAGACAAGACACGAGGACCGACGTCAAAGAGCAGGGGGCGGGGGGGAAACTGTGGGAGGGAAAAGCCCATCTCCCTCCCCCCTTCCCACCCGCCTGGGGGCCTTCATCTGCCGATTGGACACTCGCCCCGTTTAGACTGCTGCGGTGTCACATGATCTTGTGAGGGAGATGTGGAGGGGCGCAGGATGGAGGTGCTCGCGGGGAAGCTGCAGTGCATCCCTGCTAAGTACTGTCGTACTTTATAGTGTCGTACCGTATCAGGTCGCCGTCATATTAGTCAGATTTTGAAAAGTCATCATTGCATTAGTGGGGTACACAGTACCTGGGCCCCCCCATGTATCCTGGCCCGCTTGTATATGTACGGCGGTGTATGTGGCTGTCAGCTCTCCTCAGTAGCCCCCGGGGGCCGCGGGGGCTGCCGGCCATTCCCTCAGCCTAGTTGGGGTATGGGGTGCTGTCGCGCGCGTCGGTGCCTTGCTGCGAACATGGAGTTATAAGGCCCATCATGTCTGCGAATGCGCTGCGAGAAGCGCATGCCCAGATGTTCCGACGGCTATAGGACGACCCCCCCTAGGGTAGGGGGCCTACCCCCCCTCGTGGCGTTGTGGCTCCCTTCCCGTCCCTTCCCCCTCGGCCCCGCACCACCGGCTCCAGTGTCACCCTTGTCGCTGCTCCCACCCTCTGCGGCCCCGGTGTAATGTGCGGGTAGTGTGTCTTTGTCCCCAAAGATCCCTTGCATTGCCACACACGACGACGTCCCTAGGTGGTGTGACGACGTCCTAGGATGAACAGTGCTACTACTGATTAGCAAGGCGAGGCTCTGCTAAAAGGGCTTATTGCTTTTCCAGGGCTTGTATGTGGAGATTGAACATATCTTCTGATAGCAGCAGCAGCCTTCAGTGCGTTTGTCGGCATTCTCACTGCAGCAATGTCTCTCTCTCTCTCTCTCTCTCTCTCTGCGATATAAGTGAATGCGGTCTGTTGCAGAACAGCTGCCTTCCGAACGGATCGCCCGTGCATGCAACTCACCCCCGCACTGCCTGACAGCCAAGAAGGCAGCTTGGGCCCAAAACAAATCCATCTCACCAAAGGAGGAAAAACTTCGCGGTTCTGACGATACGTCCTACGATACAGGTCCTCAGACCCGGCAGCAAGGCATATTGCTGTGGAGAGGCAGCACCTCGGCGGCACCTACCTTGCCTAACTACCCACCTTACCTACCTAGGCAGTGCGCCTTCCCACCCATCATTACCGCTGCTACCGGCCGACCGGGGCAACTCTGTGTGTTCACGTATTTCATACGCGTGCTCTGCTTAACGCATCAAATCATTCGCTGTGGGAGCCCCCCCGCACATATCAATACGCACCAAGGGTCTCGAATTGACCAGCCACCCAGCCACCCAAGGAGCAGTACCTGCCTCACCCGCGGCGGCCCCATCGAGTACACTCTTGCTTGATGTTTCTCATCACACCTTGCATATCATTCCTTGCACGCTTTTGTGGCTCCTTGAAGAGCGACGAATCCCGGACTACCCGCCTAATTAAGCCTCTTCCTTTCGCCGCCTTGATGACGGCGCTTATTCCACCAGTGATGCGATCGATGAGAGATTTTACACTACCGGTATAATACATAGTAAGCTCGGTGCAGCTGTTGCTGCTGCTGTTGCGGCTGTTGCGGAGATCGCACCCACGGGCAGTATTGCACTCCCAACCCCGGGGGTGGGGGGGGAGAGGAAGAGGGGCCAGGCAGTCCAGCGGCACACGGGCATCCACCTACGAAGGCTGCAACACTTGGATGGCCGCCCCCGGTGGTGACATCAACCACCTCCCGGTTTCCTCCTCCCCTCCCCCCCCCTAGATGTAGACGTAGACGCGGCCGCCGTTGAGGTCACCAAGACAAGAGAGATACGTCCGCTGCACTGTACGACACCACCACCGCCACCACCACTTAAGGACGACACACGAGCACATGGAGACGCATCGCCCGCCCGCGGGGATTCCCCGCGGGATCATTTGTTCCATAACACACTCCGCACTTCCATACACTTAGGCATATTACCTACTAAAAATTAAAGATACTTGAACTGCTTCCGCTACCACTATTTACCACTGCTACAAGTACTACTAGTATTATTGCTGTGGCTGCAGTTACAGCGTTACAGCGGCACGTACGGCACGTGCACTCGGTTGAGCAGCGCGCTCGCGAGCTGTGTCAGCTCCGCCGCGACCTCGTACGGCAAGTGTTGTACGAAAAACGGCAAGAACTGGGCCGCCTCGCAGGCGCCGTGTGCCTCCCCGAGCAGCACCCGCAGCAGCAGATGCACGCGGGCCAGAGAGTGCGCCGCCGCCACCGCAACAACACCCGCCGCCGCCTCCACAGCCGATGCAGCCGTCGCCGCGGCGTCACCGCCGCCGCCGTACCTCTCCTCTCTTCGCCTTGCCTCCGCCGCCGCTGCTCCAGTACCGCAAGAGGCTGGGCTCCCCATATCCGCATCCTCCGCAGCCAACGACGACGGCGACAACCCCACCCCCCCCAGCCAATCGTCAAGGGCCGCAGCGGCCACCGCAGCGACCCCCGGCTGGTGTCGGTCGCCAGCCCTGGGCCCCAGCTCGCCCGGACCGCCGCCCAGGTCTTCTTCTTCACCCAGGCGGCGGCAAACCCGGAATACGGCACCGCAGGCCGCGGCTGTACATGCAGGTGCCCCCAGGCGCCGCCAGCGAACCCCCCCAACCAGGAGTGCTGACGTCGGCACGGCCGTCTGCGCCATCACCGTGCCTTCTAGTCCCTCCCGGGACCTCGCGCCCCGCAGCGGCGGCGGCGGCGGCGGTGGTGGTAGTAGTACTGTTGGCAGTGGTCGTGGTGCTGCTTCCTTGCGGCCGCCGCCGTCGCCGTCACCGCCGCCGCCAGGGCCAGCAGCCTGGAGCCCAAGCTCCCCCCCCAATTGCGATTCAGAGCAGTCATCCTTCCTTCGCCTCTTCGCGCGGACGTCTGTCTCGACGTGCGGCCCCTCCGCCTCCTGCGAGAACCGCTGCAGCCGCACCTCCCCCTCGGGGCTGCTTCCACGTTGCTCCAGACCTCCACGTCCACAACCCCGGGCTAGATGCTGCTGCTGCTGCTGCTGCTCCTGCTCTGCAAACCGTGCCCAGCTGCGTTTTCCATTGTTCGTGGGATATTCACGACGGATGTCGCCGCCACCGCTGCCGCCGCCGCTGCCGCCGCCACACCTGCTGCTCGCGATTCGCTCCGTGTTGGAGCTTCCTCCCCCCCGGGGGTGCGGGGAA